CCAGGCCGGGCCTCGCCGCAGCCTGCACACAGCCGCTGGCGCCCGGCCCAGAACATGGCTCTGGAAAAAAGAAATGTCTTTGTTGTTGTTGAGGAAAGCCCAGAACGCTCCGACAAGGACACAACCTCTTCCTAAAGCTGGGTTTCAAAGCCCTGCTTTCTCAGAGGGCTCCAAGTGACCTGGACAAAAGCATCTGCTTCTCCATGGGTCAGCCTGGCTGGAGGAAACCCTGACCCACATTGCAAGGACTCCCTCTGAAACCTCAGCTTGCAGGGGCACCGAGGGATGGCACCCATGCAGCCCCCTCCAGAAGGGTGCCCACCCAGGGGTGCTGCTGGGGAGCCCCTGGAGCTTTCCTGGGCTGTCATTAGCAGAAGAACAGCTTCGGGTGACTCAGCAAGCAGGGCTGGGACACTGCCTCTGTCCTGAGCAAGACTGACACATGCAGTTCTGCCAGAGCCAGGGCTGGCTAAAGATACCGTGGTACTTAAATATTTTATAGAAAATCATTAAGCAATTAAATCTGGTGGATCTCACATCATAGAAAAAGCAGCTTGAAGCCTGTGCAGTAAACAGGGCAACACTTCCTGCTCGGTTGGGATGTCTTCTTGGAGTCTTAACTACAATCCTTGCTTCAAAATAACTATAATTATCTCTTAATTGCCATTATTGTTTAACATTTTTAGCATTTGCAAGTGCAAACTGTTACAGTTTTCCACGCAGATACAATCAGTAGCCGGGGCTCACAATGAAAGCAATTAAAATCCTGTGATTATCACAAGGCTGCGTGTCTCTATACCAGCTTCAATCTACATCACTTGCCAAGATGTAGGCTAGAAACTCAGACAAATTTAGCATTTATTTAGTAACCCAGCAAAGCTACTACCTCTTGCTGCCTCCAATGATTTGCATCTACGGCACTTTTTGGAAGGACGGGAGCAGGGAGGGGAGGGGAAAGAAAGCAGTTTCTAGAATACATCCCAGGAGAATATACAGCAAGAAAAATTATGCACATGAATTATGCATCTGAATTATGATTTCACTCCTATTTTTGTCCGGATTAGCTCATGTTTGGTGTGCATCCCTGGCAGGGTGCTAGCAGAGTGCGCTCCAGCTCCCAGCAGGTCACTGTGGCTCTGGCTCTGTGGGCTCTGCTCCGCTGGCAGCTGCTTCCCAAGGGCTCACAGAGCTCCCTGGGGCTCCAGCCCCCCGGTGACGATGGCAGCCCCTGATCCCGCACCCTCGCAGGCTGGGCAAGTCGTTTTTCTCTGTTAATTGAATGCCTGTCTTCTGTAAACACACCAGGGATGACGAGGGATTTGGGTGTAAACTGAAAAAGCAGGTCTGCGCTATTTTGTACAGAGGGGGAGGTGTTTGGAGGCTGTGCTGCCACCAGGCAGCCTTCAGCGGTGCTCCCCGGGTCCCCAGCATCTCCTGGGGAAGGCAGACATGGACACAGCCTGGCCTCTGCCAGCTCTGGGGAGGTAGAGCCAGGAGAGAAGGGGAAGGCAATGGCAGGGCTTCCAAAATCTCACCAGATACACCTTCGATCCCAGCACACACTCATGTGAAGGCAGCAATCCTTCCAGGAAAAACTGCTTGGGAATCCTCAGCTCCCTTCCGGGAGGGCTGGTGAGCCCAGGCCATGGATGTTTCCAGCTGTAAGGAATTTCAGTGGCCCTCCTTGCCATTAGGGAGGGAATTATCCTCACCAAGTCAGCAGGGCACCTGCGCCCAGGTGTGGGGTCCAGACTGGGGTGGGTGGGAGCACAGGGCACCTTCCTTTGATGGGGCCATGTGGGGAGGCTTGAGGGGCTGTGAATGCTCCCTGGCTGGGTTCTTCCCTCACCAAACTGCATGTCCATCTCTGCTGCTGCCTTGGATTAACATCCCTGCCATCCCAGCAGTTGTTTGCATGAGAAAATGAGATTAGGAAACTATTTCAAGTATTTGTGTCTGTTGTTGAGTGGCAAACAAAGCTGGAGCCAGTGCTGTTTGTCCTGTCAGCTGGCCCAAAGCTTGGGAAAACAGCCGGGAAGGCAGTGGGAGACACACAGCTAAGCACCAGGGGCTGAGTTTGTACATACCTTTGGAGAGTGGGAAATGTGGAGCTGGCCGAACCCCCTTGCCAAGGATGGGGTACCTGCCTGGGTACATTTGTGGGTACCCCTGGGGCTCCCTGGGATACCTCAGAGGATCGGGATTTTTCTACATTCAGGTGTTTCCTACCTGCTTTGAAATGCTGCTGGTAGGAAGCAAAAAGTCAGTAAATTTGGGCAGTCACAGCAAAGAGGAGCAAAGGCAGAATCAATGGAAACAGCATCTTGGAAAACCTGGGCTTGAAAGCCCTGAAATTGCCTGCTGAGATCTGGGCTGGCTGTGTTCCCGGGGTGATGAGGTTAAGATGAACTCTCCAGTTTGCCTTTTGGAGAAGGACACACACAGCTGGTAAGGCAGGGAGGCAAGGAGGAGGCCAGGAGAGCTCCAGGTCACTGAATTCAGCTCAGCAGGTCCCTGCCACATCCTGGAGCTCTCCTGTGGCTCCTGCTCTGTTTGGTTTCCCCGTGGCAGCTGTCACTGTCCCTGCATTTTCAAACCACCTGCCTGAGTTTCAAGGAAGTCATCCATATATTCAACAGGAATATCAGTTTCCAGGAGCTCCGGGGGACCCTGAGATCATAGCAGCTAATACAGGGATTCTGCTGGGCTGTGCTCCCCCCACCAGAGCTGGAATTCCTCTTGGATGGGATGTCTGCTGGGGGCTGTTTAAACTTCCCCTGGTGTTTCTGGGGCTCAGGGGTCCTGGGATGGGCCCCCAGCCCAGCTACTGCATCCAGCCCAAGCAGGACACTTTCTCCACATTTTTAAGCCAGAAGTGGCTCCTAAAATCAATACAAAAGGATATTCCTCTGCAGCTTAGGGAACCACCGTGTCCACATTCTTCCCTGAGGCCTTCAAAGGAGCTGAGGAATCTAATTCCCACTAATTTGCTTTGAAAACACCAACTTAAAATTGTAATTATGGCCTGGTGTCTTCCTGCCAAGGGAAGACCCCAGCAGACTGCAGCTTCCTTGCTTCCCTAAGACATCAGTTTTGATGATTTATTAAGACTTATATTTTTAACAATATGATGTTGGTTAATGTTGGAAGATGTTCCTACAATTAATGAAAATTTCATAGACTGACTGGAGAAGAAAGAGACCATTTTATGTCCCCTACCAGATGGCCTAGACCAGCTGCTCACTTTTTTCTTTGAACTGTGATTCTAATGACTTCTCAGTCCTTTGAAGTCTGCTTAGAGCTGCTGAACCAGATGGATTTGCATGATAGTAGCAGTGCACTATCTTTTATTTTAACAGTGGAGGACTTGTGCTATTTTCCCTCCTGGCCACTGCTGAATGCTGCAGTTGGGGGATTTGGAGGGTTGAGTAAACCCGGAATATTGCCAGGCACTGGCAGAATGTATCTTGGTGTAACATGACTGGCTTCAGTGGAGTTATTCCCCAAACCCACAGTGTCCTTACCCAGCTCTCAGCTGGTTTTGCTGCTTTATAACCCATGGGATGCTGTCAGTCATGGTTTTATTTGGGCCTCACAAAGCAGGGGCTGCTGTCAGAATGCACAGTTCAGCACCATTAAAAAAAAAAAAAAAAAGAGGAAAAGAAGAAAGAAGGAGCATTAAATATGTATTAATAAGTTTTTAAAATAATAAACCACAAAATAAAATGGTGACAAAAGAAACAAAACTGAAAAAAGATCCCTGAGTGCGGGTTTGGTAGGAATTTATGCAGAGAAGATGGGGAGGTAACACTGACACTCCTGGGTTTGAAATCTCAAATCAATAGTGAAGGTCGCTATTTTCACACTTTTTCACATCACTTTTTCACACTGCCTCCCAGAGCACTCCAGGATCTCAAGCAGCTGCTCTCCCTGGAGCAACGTCCAAGCTAGGCTGGCACTGAGCTCTCTAAAATCTCTCAGGACTCTGATGATCCTGGTGGGTCCCTTCCAACACAGGATATTCTGTCCTTCTATGAAAATCATCCCTGCACAACAACAACATGCCTGGGGCTGTCTCTGTGCTGTGTTTCGCTGTGCCTGCCTCAGAGGCCTTTAGGGACTTTTGAGGAACAAACAGCACAGGACAAATGGAACGATAAAGGGAAGGAGCAGAGCAGTTACCCAGAACAAGGCAACCCAAGGCGCACAGGGACACCGAGGCCGTGGCACTGGTGTGGGACAGAACGGACTTGTCTTACTGAGATAAGGAAATGGAAGGAGGGTTAACCAGAGCTAGGGCTTTGCCTGGATGTGACATGAAAAGCACCATGTCCTGGCCCTGGAGCCCTCCTGCTCCTTCCCAGGGGATGTGCATCCAGTGTTGGCAGCATGACAAGGCAGGAACACCAGGCTGAGTGAAATGTCCCACCAACCAGGGCTTTCCAAGCCTGGGCTGCTCTCCCCGATCCCGTTCACAGGCAGTGCCGGCAGCCCAGCTGTAATTTGATGTTACTGTCAGGGGGATGTCAGTGCTGCTGGGATGCAGATCCCATCCCGTAAGGGGAGCGGGTTCCTGCTGGCAGCCGCTGGTCCCGGTGTCCCCAGTGCTGGGGATGGCAGCACACCCTGGGCAGGGCTGGGACAGGGGCGTGGGGCAGGAGCAGCTTCTGACAGCACAGCAGCTCTGATTTTGTCTTACAGCCATCACATCCTCACACCGGGCACGGTTCAGATGGGACACCGGGAAAGCTCCGTGGGACACGCTGTGGCACAGGCGGAGCCCCCGGCCCTGAGGGGGTTTAAACCCTCGCGGCTGCGGCTCCGGGGACACGGCTCAGCCCCAGGGGCTGTCCCAGCCTGGCTGACGCTGCGCTCCGACACTCGCTGCCGCTGTCCCACAGGCGGGCGGGCACCGCCACCTTCCGCACGCCCGGCCCGGCCCTGCCCGGCCCTCAGCGCCGCCGCAGCCGCGGCCGCCCCGGAAGGGCTCCGGTTGCCATAGCGGCGTGGCGGGGCGCGGGCCATGGCGGCGGAGCCGGAGCTGGAGCCGGAGCTGGAGCTGGAGCCGGAGCCGAGCCCCGCCGGTTCGCTGCGCCGCTGCCTGGCGCGGCTCGGAGCGCTGCGGGCCCGGCCCGACGGCAGCCGCCGCACGGAGCTCCACCTGCTCTTCGACCAGCTCATCTCCGAGAGCTGCGGGCCCCAGCCCGCCGCCGCGCCCGGCCCGCAGGTACCGCGGGCGTGGGGCTCCGGGGCCGTGGCGGCGACGGGGAGGAGGTGGTGGTGGAGGTTGTGGAGGAGGAGGAGGTGGTGGAGGTGGAGGAGGTGGTGGAGGTGGGCACGGCGTGGTGCGGCTTTGCCCCGCTGTGCCCACCCCCGTGTCCCCGAGGTTCCAGCCCACCTTCCCCCGGCCCTTCTCCGGCCCCTCGGTGCCAAAGCGATGCCGGGTGGGGCCGTGGGTGATGCCAGCAGGTGGGACTGTGGGCCTCGGTAATTTTCATAGTCTGATGTTAGAAAAATAATAATTTTTTAAACCTTAATGCAAGCCCTTGAAAGCTGAGCACACTAGATGAGCAGCATGGATGCTGCTCCATTGGCACAGTACAATAATACAGTAATAATGAACACAGTAGTTCATTATTACACTGGTTTGTCTTAATTTTATTTCCAAAGCCGGCTTACTTTGCACTTTGGAATGAATTGATTTTTGGACAGTACTCTTCCTTTTCCTTGATCTAACTTGGTGGTTTTTTTGAGCCATTATTGCTCTATTTGTAGTCCCTAAATAATAAACTGAGCCTTTCTCTTCCAGGATGTTTGTGCTGTGCTTGTCCAAGGCTGTCAGTTGGTTCCACTTGATCAGGAGCATCTTGTCAGCAAAGTCTGTCAGCTTATCCATCACTTACTCAACAGATATCAGGTAGGAAGAGTTTGGCCATGTCCCTTAATAAGCCAGTGGAACTCTGTCTTTTTCCAGGGCTGTGGAGCCAACCTTCAGGCAGAGTTTCTTGGATTTTCACTGTATTACTTATTTTTGGGTAGCTGAGGCTCTGATCTGGTTTTAGCATGGTTCCTCATAAAACCACCTCTCAGTCAGAAGTGATTCACCATGGGAAATAGTCTTGCTTTTAGGACACTTGTACAGATTTATCCATTTCTGGTCAGGTGTGATTTTAACAGCCAAATCACCCGAATCTGTGACCAATTTCTCAGGGTTTATTGACTGCAGCAGTACAAGATAATGTTTATCTTCACCTTTTCTGTTACAACAGGTGATGGTTGATGAGCAGCACTTGAATTTCCTTCTCTCCTACTGCATCTCTGCTCTGAGGCAGTGCAGCTCCTGGACACATGTTGAAATTCTGCAAGCCTTAGCAGCTCTTGTTTACAACAATGGGCCTAAGTGTCAGAAGGTGAGTTTACAAACAGAGAGATAGTAACAGCAAAAGTATTTGCACCGCTGCCGTTTGTACTTTATATTTTCTCCTGAGAGAAAGAATAAAAAAGTTCTCCATGCTAAGATTAAATCCCCTTTAAATAGTGGTTGATATTCATGGGAATTTTAGTTGTATTTATTAATAATTATTATTCCCATGTGGAATACTCAGTACCTGGTGGCTGCAGCTGTCGGGATCATCATTAAATAAGGGCACAGGCTTAGCCTGCAGACCAACCACCTTGTGCCTCAGGCAGGAAGACCATGGGGAGCTTGAAATTGCACATAAGTCTCCAGGCAGGCTCCAGTGAGGATGCTGAAATCCATCCTGTAACCAGGTCTGGGCTTTCGCTCGGCGCCGTTTCACAGAGCGGCTCTCGGGGCTCAATCCTGTGTGAAGCTCCTTGCTGCTGCAGCTGACAGGGTTTGAAATGCTGGATCCTCCTGCTGTCAGCAGCTCGTGGCAGCTTGCAAAGCAATCTCTGGGCTGAGCATGGGGTGGTGATGCTCACAGTTTGGGAGCTGCCAGCTTGTGTGGGCTTGGAGCCCATGTAGTGGCAGCAGTTTGGTGCAGCAGTTGTTCCTAGCTTAGCTTCATGTCTGGGAAGAGAGCATAAGCTGGGACTCAGCTGAGCTGTGCTCAACTCTGTCCTTTCTTAGTGCAAAATAAGAGGACTTAAGGTTTTCATGCTGTTTTTTATAAACATGAATCTGAAATTGCAGCTGAGAATTTTTAGGGTTTGTTTTACTTCTCATTATCGTGCTTTGTTTTTTGTTGGTAAAGAATTCAACTAATTTCACTGAGTCAGGTCTGCTCTGCCCATGATGGTTATCAGTGGGTGACCTTTCCTTGTCCTTGTCTCAGCTCGTGAGCCTTTCCTTATGTTTTCTCTCCCCATCTGAGGGGCAGTTCTGGTGGGCACCTGGTGTCCAGGCATGCTCCAGCCACCTCCCATGGTATTTTCCCCCCAAACACAAGACCCAGGAGGCTGAGGGAGGAGCACTGACCCCTAATGGCTTTTGCTGGTTTGTTTGCAGTACCTCCCGGATCTGCTGGGCAAGGCTGGGCTCCTGCTGCAGTTCAGCGACCCTGCCCAGCCAGAGGTGGAGCTCAGGAGGGCAGCTGTGCGCAGCATGGCCAACCTGTGTCTCAGGTGTGTACCAGCCTCCTCAGGTGGGTTAGAACCTGTACATCTGCCAGCACAGGGCCAGCAAGGTGGAGGTGCAGGAATTTGAAATGCAGAGCTTTTCTGTGCATATAAACTCTGAGTCTTCCAGAAATAATGTTACAGGGGTCAGTTTAGGGAAGAGAAGAAAAGCTGTTGTGCTGTCTGGTTTTTCGTGCAGAAGGTTTCCTTGTGTTCTCTGTGTGGTAGAGCTGGCCCCTTTCCATCAGCCATCCATCCATCTGGGGCTCTGCAGGTTAACGGTGGGCTTGGGTGGGACTTTGTGTAACTTTATGGACCTATGGACAGACTGTAAAGCAACCTCGTGTCTCCTCCTGCTCCAACTTTAGTGTCCCTGGACAGCCATACCTGGATGAGTCCTACAGAACTGTCTGTTTTCAAACTTTCCTGAGTGTTCTGCAGTCTTCAAAAACCACTGATGTGGATGACATCACTTTTTGCATGGTAAGTGTGAGTCTAATTACCTAAAATACTCTAATTAGAAGATTGTGCTGCTGGAATATATGGAATTTGGAATGTTGGCAATTAAGATTTTGCTTTATTAGTCTATAATTTATCATATTACTGTCCCAGTTGAGCAAAACTGTAACTGCCTAGAAAGTTACTTGAAAGATGTGAACCTGCAGTGTTTGGGGAAGGAAAAGTAAGTAATTCTTTGTTTTCAGTTACTGCAAAGTGCACTGAAAGGTGTCCAGTCGCTTCTCAATGGTGGGAAGATGAAACTGATGCAAACTGACCAAATTGGAGCTCTTCTGGCAGTGTTAAAGGTAAATCCTTAAATCCACCTGGAGGAAGAGACAGACACTGGGAGGTTCCAGGTGCTGTTAAGTGGGAAACAGCAGGAGATGAGCAAAAGGGAGCAGAGAACCCTGAGGGGGGGGGGGGGGGAATGGTGTGTAAGGTATTTAAGAAAAATATACTGAGTTTCCCTCACAGCATCTTCACTGCCACTGCAGAATGTGAGAGGAAGATGGGAGGCTTGGGGACCTACTTGAAATCCTTCTATATGCAGATGGATTTCAGATGTTGCATAGCCTTATATATGTGAGAGGCAGCAGCTGGGGGAAGGAGCACAGCTGAAATTGGGTGAATTCAGTAAATCTGTGCATGAGAAAGGGACAGAAGGCTAACCTTTGTGTTCCTGTTGCAGAAATTCATGTTCCATGGGCTGCCAGGACTGAGCATAGAGGTGCCCACAGCCCTGTACCCTGCTCCCTTACCTCAGTATGATAAAAGGTCACCTGTCAAGCAGGAGCAGGCAGAAGCAGCCACCTCCAAGCAGACAGGGGTAAGCTGGGCTGCTCCTGATTCTCCAGCCTGTTTGTCGTGGTTGTGTCTTACCTCTCATGGTATTTGTGGCTCTTCATGTCCTGAGCATGAGGGACATTTCATTCTTTGTTTCAAAGGTGATGATTACAAATTCTGCACAGAGTAAAATTGCTTTGGGAACTCAGGTGACAGGAACAAATGGCTCTGCAGGGCTTGGCTTTCCACAGTTAAGCTCTGTGCAGCAATTATTCATCCATAGCCAAGAATCCCTGGCCTGCAGGCACAGGATTGATGCATGCAAACTCACCAAAGCTTTTGATTTTAGAAGTCACGTTTTCTCTCCTAACACTTGCACAATTGTTTGACTCTTTCTTAGGGAAGTCAAGTTCATTTAAGACTGATTTCTTGCCTCATCTGTTCTGCTCAATCCTTCAACAGGTTATTTTTTAACGTGTAAATACTTTGGATTACTGATTATCTGAAAGACATTAGAGAAAATCTATCTAGTCATGTTGACTTGTTTCTTTTGAGCTGCTGAAAAGAAAGAGTAGTTAGTGCTACCTACTGTAAATCTAAAAGAACTACAGAAGTATTTAGTGTTGTTCTTTAATCACTTGTGTGTGAAATACGATTTTCAGCTAAAAGTTCCCTTGGATGTATTTTGCTTTACTGATGAAGAAGTCAAAGGTTAATTTTTGAGGCTATTCAGTTATTAACTGTTTACTTAGGTATTACTGAAATTTTGTGACTGTTGCTACTAATAAGCAGAATTTAAAAACTCAGATGCTAAAGAGTGACTGTGTGTAGGGTATTGCAGAGAGATGTAACTGCATTTATGTATTCATTAGGCATTGACTAAGAAAAATCAATTTTTTGTCTTAGAGCCGAAGAAAAAAGTGCAAAGGGAAACAAAAGAAGGGAGAGTTTGGGGAAGAAGGAAGAGAAGGTCCAGAGGATGCAGGAAATGAGTCGGTGCTGGGAGCAGACATGCTGAAATTGCAGCTGGGGGATGTGCAGAGCAGCCCTTGCCTTGAGCCTGGGCCCCGTGTGCCAGACGTGTGTGCTGGGAAGGAGCCCCCGAGCTCACAGCCCTGGAAACGCTTCAGCAGCAGCGAGTCCGAGTATTCCGACACCGAAGGTGGACTCCAGAGCAAAGTGAGGTGACTGCTGTGCCCATGAAAACGTGGCATCCACAAAACCATTCCACACCACCCTTTGTGCTTGGCCAAAACTGCTGAGGGGATCACTTTCCCTTTTGATTTTTGGGATGGTACAAGAAGATTGGAGGGCAATAATTTGTGTTGGTTTGGAAGTAAATTTGTTCTTCCTCTTCCTGTTCTCAGTCTAAAAGATTTCCTCTCACAGCCAGCCACTAATACACGTGAAAGAGGCGGAGCCCATGCCTTGTCCCTGCTGTTTTTGTTAATCTTTTTGTTTGTGTTTAAGGTCTTACCAAGCCAATGTTCGCCAAGGGGCTCTGGCCTGTTTCCTCTCCACTATAAAGTCAATAGAAAAGAGAGTTCTTTATGGCTACTGGTCAGCATTTGTTCCTGATGCCCCTGGTATTGGCAGCCCCCAGTCTGTGTCCCTGATGACTATTGCTCTAAAGGACCCTTCTCCAAAGGTGAGGCACTTCTGAGTACAAAAATTGTTCTGTTTCCCCCCATTAATCTTAGGAGTTGTCTTCTCTGGCCTTCAGTAAGTATTTGGCTGCTGCCCAAGAAATAAATAGGAAGTGTTGGGCTAAGGAAACAAAGGATTGGTTCTATATTGCCTAAAATAATGAAAAAAAGATAGTTGGAGTTGAATTTTCTCTTGCTAGAGAGAATTTAATATATTTTAAAATTCTCTATCTGCTCAAAGGAGGTGTTAAAAGGTATCACAAATGTTTTCTCATTTCAGACACGTGCCTGTGCTCTTCAAGTCCTCTCAGCCTTCCTGGAAGGTTCAAAGCAGTTCCTGTCTGTGGCTGAAGATGCCAATGACCACAAAAGAGCTTTTACCCCTTTCTCAGTCACCATTGCTTCCAGCATCCGGGAGCTGCACCGCTGCCTGCTGCTGGCCCTGGTGGCTGAGTCCTCCTCTCAGACACTGACACAAATAGTCAAGGTACCTGCACTGCAGCTGTGCCACATGCTCCCAGGGGCTGACCCTGCTCTCTGCAGTATGTCCTGAAGAAAGATTGCACAGAATTGCTGTTGAGGATTGAGGTGGTGGTGGTGGCAAACAGACCTTTGTCACCTCACAGGGGTTCCTTGGCTGAGTCACCCTACAGAATCATGGAATCACACAATGGTTGGGGTTGGAAGGGACCTTAAAGATCACCTTGTTTCAATCCCCTGCTGTGGACAGGGACACCTTCCACTAGACCAGGTTCCTCAGACTTCCAGCCAGAGTCTTGGGGTTTCTTTTCAGCACAGTTCTCTTTTTTCTGCATTTTTTTAGTCTTTTTGGAGCTGAATGAACCTATAAAACGATCCTGAAGACTCACATTGACTTTAAAACTGGAATCCAAATTGACAAATCCTTCCATGGGCTATCAAAATTCCTTGGTCTTTATGCCATGTCAAAGTAGTTAAACCCAAGTTTGTATCCAGCAGATAATTGGGGTTGTTTTTTTCAGGTGCCCTCAGATAATGAGCTGCCTGAATGACCTAAATTACAAATGTAAAAACAGACCTGTTGGAGGCCAGGCTGACATTGTAACCAGCACCTTTCTCTGTTTCAGTGCCTTGCAAACTTGGTTTCCAATGCACCCTACAGCAGGCTGAAACCCGGGCTGCTTACCAGGGTGTGGAACCAGATCAAGCCCTACATCTCTCACAAAGGTTTGCATTCTCCCTGCTGTATCCCTGTGCTCCATAATTCAGAATTCAGTGGATGTTTATATGTTATAACCTATCTTGTCTGAAAACTGCTGAGCGAGGATGCTGGGCTGTCAGTGAGGTTCTAATGGAGGTTTTTTTTTTCCTTTTCCCCCATTGTCTCTTGCAGATGTCAACGTTCGAGTTTCCAGCCTGACGTTGCTGGGGGCGATTGTCTCTGCCCAGGCCCCTTTGCCAGAGGTGCAGCTGCTCCTGCAGCAGCCCAGCTCCTCGGGGCTGAGCGGCAGCGGCAGCGCCAGCCCCGGGCGCCCGGGCTGCTGCGAGCAGTGGGGCAAGGCAGCGCCCTGGGCAGGGCAGAGCCCTCAGGGCAGCCCTGCAGGCCAGCCCTGCTGGCTGCTGCGCCTCTGCGTGTCCCTGGTGGTGCTGCCCAGGGAGGATCCCTGCCCCGACGCCGCCACCGCCTTCCCCTCCGTGTGCAGCGTCTACGAGCCGTGTCCCCTGCGCCTGGAGGCGCTGCAGGTGAGGTGCTGGGGGGCTTGGCTCACACCCAGCTGCCCCCCGAGCTCCTGGGGTCCCTGCTTGCTCAGGGAGGTTGAGGCTCAGGCCGTGGCTTGACTCCAGGAGAAACGTTTTGATGCCGTGGCCACAGCGCGGCTGTCCCGCTGCAGACCTGCTGCAGCAATTCATCTGCCTGTGCTTTTTGTCTTCTTTCGATATCATCTGGGGGTGAGACTTCCCTGTGCAAACTCTCCAAATTCAAGTTTTGGTGGGAAACAGTGGGAAAAGAGCCCTGCAGTCAGAGAACAGTCTGCAAGGAGCTATGGAGTGACTCAAGGAGTCACTGTGGATGCTGAGGCTTGGCTTTGTTTTAATTCATGTAGCCACAGCAAAGGGTAAGATTTTGTCACATGCATCCCAAGAAGTCTCACTCCTTTTCTGGAGCAGTAAATACTTGTTAAATCCAACTTCACAGAATGCAGCAGCAGTGTTGCAGGAGGTACAGAATGTCTGGCTCTCAGTTTTTTTGGCTACAGGAGCCCGCACTTACAGTAAATAATTCATGGTCTTGCTACCTGATAGTGCTTCTGTGGCTCTTCTTTGAACAATATAATGGAACAGGGAGGCTTTTAATCAGCTCTGGTATTCCAGAAGTTGTGCTGCGAGGTGTATCTGTTACATCAGAGTTCAGTATAGGGTGCCAGGGTTGATTAGCCCATTAACATCATTTCAGTGTGTAGTTGGGGTATTTTTGGTAAACAGAAGGAAGAAATGCTGAATGGAATTTTTTTTTTTTTGTCTGCGTTTAGGTGTTGGCTCTTCTTGTGAAAGGTTATTTCCCTATGGCTCAGAGCTATTTCCTGGGGCTTGGAGAAGTGGCTTGCAGATGCATGGAAGAAATGGATCCATCCATTCAGCTTCATGGAGCCAAAGTAAGAGCAGGAGACACGTCAACGTCGTTTTGCCAAGTCAGTTTTATCTGTCTGTGTGCTTTGCAAATGCAGATGAGTGGTGATGAATATTCAGAGCATCTGTGTGTGTGTGATATAGAAATGCAGTACCCTGACACTTCGAGAAATGCACCTTCAGCTTCCAGTCTTGAAGTCTCAGCAGAATTTTGTTGCTCTGCTGAGTCACCAGGAAGCTTGGGAAGTGCAAGGACCACAACACTGGTGCTTCCCTGGCTGAGCATCAGCTGGTGCAGGGACTGGACTCTGTGACCCAAAGATTTCCTCTTTGTGCAGCACTTTGTTATGCTGTGCTTGCTGGAGACTTTGTGTAGGAAAGGCTTTTCCTCTAATTCCAGTACTAGCAGGGACAGAACAGCCCGAACCAGTACTGAGTCTTTTATGTTCCCTGGCTGAGGAGATGCAGGTTCTGTAGTTCCACGGTCCTTGAGTCATCCCTGATGAAAACCCCCTTGCTTTTTGTTCTTTGTAGCTTCTGGAGGAGCTGGGCACGGGTGTCCTGCAGCAGCACAAACCAGACTCCCCCACTGCCCCTGAGCAGAGGGTGCCTGTCAGCGTGGTAAGTGTGAGATTCCACCTGGCTGAGCTCCTTCCCCGCCCTCTGCAAAGTCACTGGCACAGACAAATCATTGCAGGGAGGCAGGAAGGGCTCAGACTGCAGCTTTATGGGTGCCAGCATGGACAATTTCTGGAGACTTCCTGCAGTCACTTGGCAGTTGTTCTTGTCTGTGGACAGATGTGTTGGGGTTTATTTCTTTTACTTGCCTCTCCCCTTCCCAACTCTGCAGCCTGCTGTAGCTCAGAGAGCTGGAAGAACAGCACTGATTATGTGTGTGTCATTACTGCTGCATAAAACTTTTAGAATTTTGGTGAATTTGCATTGTTAGAGAACCAACCTACATTTTCTGGTTGATCCCAAGTGCAGAGAGAGCAGGCAGAACCACAATATATGTGAATTTGGAAGAATTCATGAGCTGTTTGTTGGCTAAGTTTGCAGAAGTTGAGTAATACTAGGCCTGTTTAAGTCTTCCTTCTGTGAACAGAAGACAAGCTTAAAAATTTCTTTGGCTCATGCTAAGTTTTGAGCCTACAAGACAGGAAATGTGTTCAGTAGCATCAGGTTCCTGTTATTTGCTATGAATGTAAATTGTCAGGCAAATGAAAACACTCAGCTGTGTGGGTTCAGGAGTGGGATTGTAACTATTTAATGCAGTTTAAATTTCAGGGTATGATGATCATCTTTAAGACAAGAAATTAGGCTTAATTGTTGAGTTTAGAAAATAAACCTGGCTGCTTCTCCTGCAGGTTGTGACCTTCTGGACGATGATGTTGAATGGCCCCTTACCTGGCACCCTGCAGAACTCCCCCCATGCCACTCTCCAGACAAGTGCCTGTGATGCCCTGTCCTCGATCTTACCAGAGGCTTTCAGCCTGCTGCAGGTAGGAGAACACACCTTTCCATGTGGTGGTTTTACCTTCGAGGCTTTGTCCTTGTCCACCAGCTTACAGTAGTGTAAAGCCTTTTAAAACTTGCCAAGAGAATGTAAAGAGACCTTCCCAAATTGTTTTTTCCTCGTTCTGAACATTGTGACTGTTGAAGGCTGGAAAGGGCAATGTTGGGAGCAATTAGCCTGTCAGAACAATTAAACTGTGGGTCACAGCAGCTGTTTGGCCCCAGCCCTGGCAATGATGCACAGGAGATGGAGGACAAGAATTTCATGGCATGAGGGAGGGCTGAGGGATTAATCTGCTGATTAATCCTTTGAGGAGCCAGTGGAGCCCATAGCCAGGGCCTGATGTTGTGCACCCGTTTGCATGTGTGTTTTTTCCCTTTGCAACATGAAATATGCTTTTAAACATGAAAGCCTTGGCAGTGGATCCCCCCTGCATTGTGCAGCTCCTTCTGTGTCACTGTGCCCTTGCTGGGGAGTGCTCTGCCAGGTCTCATTTGCCCAGGAATTGCTGGTCCAGCAGTATCTGTGGAATTCTCCAAGTACAGCGTGTACTTCATCCTCCTGTACTTTGATCCCATCCCCTGTCCTGGCCCCGTGGCCAAGTGGGGTCAAGTCAGTGCCCACTCTGACCTTCTGTCATGGGCTGGTGAGCTGACAACCTGCCCAGGCTGAGCTCAGCCCGGCCTGGCTAAGGAGGGGCAGAGAGGCAGGGGAGGCGAGAGCAGCCCATCCTCTGTGAGTGAGCTCTGAGGGGTATTCCTTCAGCTTTGGATGGGAGCTAACACTCTGATTTCCTTCTTGGTCTTACCTAACAGCAGAGATGCTGTTACTAATAAAAATCACTATTTTTATTGCTGTGTGCTGGAAGCATTCCTGTTTCCTGGGTGGGCTCCTGAAACACTCCTCAATTCACTTTATCTAGAGCGTGCTGTGAGTGGGAGCTCCTTCAGACACAGGGTGTTTCAGAGAATCTGTGTGTGCCTGTGTCCCTCTCCTCAGCCCCCTGCTGCTCCTCTTGCAGGGGGACCAGCAGATCCTGTGTGTCACCTTGCTGCTTGGCCTGAACCACAGCGAGAACCCCCTGGTGAAAGCTGCTGCTGCCCGTGCCCTGGGAGTCTACATCCTCTTCCCGTGCCTCAGGCAGGTCAGAGCCAGCCAGCCCTTCTCCTGAGCCCTTCTGGAATCAGCCATGAGATGTGGACCATGCATTTGTTTGCAATGAATTCCCTTTACTTTTGGCCTGTAGCGTGTTTATAATTTTCCTTACTGGCTCCAGAGCTGCTCTTGCCTCTGGTGTGAGGGAGGTGAAGGAGAAGGGAGAGGGAAAGGAGGAAAGGAGGGAGGTCAGGATCTTCCCAGGCTCTCAGGGATGGAAGCTGGGTTGGGGAGGTTGGCACAGAGGAGCTGCAAGAGGTGAGGGGGATGAAGGGAGCACCTGTCCAGTGCTCTGGGAGTTTAGTGTTGGACTCGATCTTTGAGGTCTTTTCCAACCTCCAGGATTCTATGATTCTAACAAGTTTTTAATGTGAGGCCATCAGTCTTGCTTAAAACTAAGAAATAAAGCTTATTGGGAGGGGAAAAAAGGATTTTTTTTCCTACAAAATATCATCTTAGCTTGGCTGAGCTGGAAGATTAGTTTTTACAACGTAACCTTTAAGTGAATGATTTCAATAAAAAAAATATGCCTTTGGAGTTTAATTCCAAAATATTTTGAAAGAAAATCCTTTACCATAGGCACATGTAATGTGCCATAGAAGAGAAGATTAGACAGGCAGCTCAAGAGGGAGTTTGGAGAAGCAATTACTTTAAGAGTGGGATTTGTTGGGTGTAAGGTTGGCAGTCCATGTAATTATGTTAAAATCCAAAGTAACTAAATCACCAATGGAATTAAATAATCCATTGAAGCTTTTCAGCAACGGCTACCCAAGAGTGGTGGACTTGGTCAGCACTCAGGCTTGGACTGTTAATTAAAGGTCAGACAAAGCTGCAGAGAACACCATGAGCTCATTAGAAGGCGTCACCTAAAAAATTAAATGAACAGAGCTGGTCTCTTTCTCATTTTCCCTGGAAAAACCAGAGTGTGTTACTAAGAAAATCACCTGTATTTTGAGAACTCTAACTTTGCAGCAGTTTTTGCTTTGACAGGATGTGATGTTTGTGGCAGACACAGCCAATGCCATTCTGAATTCCCTCCACGACAAGTCTCCCAACGTCCGTGCCAAGGCAGCCTGGTCCCTGGGCAACCTGACAGACACCCTGATCATCAACATGTATGTGACACACCCTGCCCCTGCCCCCTTCCGTGCTCTGGAATGATTCTGTGATACTTAACAACAAAAAAAAGCTGAATTTTGGCTTGGATCCTTCTTTTTAACACCCTCTGCCTGTGTGTCTGCCTCTGTGGGACACTGTTTGAGCATCCTGTGTCCATCTGGGAACACCTTCCACTGTCCCAGCTTGCTCCAAACCCTGTCAAGCCTGGCTCTGGACACTTCCAGGGATGGGGCAGCCACAGCTTCTCTGGGCACCCTCACAGGGATCAGGTTTTTCCTAATATTTTATCTAAACCTGCTCAGTTTGAAGCTATTCCTCTTTGTCTTGTCACTCTAAGGAGAGACTCTTTAAAACTTTTCAGTTTTCCATTTCTTGTGTGTTGCTTGGTGTAATTACATGGTTCCTTTACTTTCAACATAACACAAGTAAAATTAATAAATATTTAACCCTTCCTCAAGCCAGAGACTGAGGGAAGCCCAGCCTACTGTTACATTTTTAACAGGAAAATAGTTATCATATATTCCTGCTACAGAATTGCCCCTGAGCAATTCCTTGCCCTCTGTTTTTTATTACAGATTTAACCATTGCTAACCAGCTTTCTTGCATTGATAGTTTGGTTTTAAATTAATAAACATAGTGGTCACATGCAGAAAGCTCTGCCTTACATATTAGCCCTCTAAAGAGTGAAGGTTGTTTGTTCATGGGCCTTTATAAAGGGTGGTATCACATCTCTGGGGATGGAGCAGCCGAGCTGGGTGTTCACAGGGGGATTCTCCTGCCAGGCAAACCTTGGGACAGAGCTTCCAGGAGGAGCTTTCTGATCTCCTGCTGCTGAAATTGCTGCGGTCTGCCACGGAAGCGTCCAAGGACAGAGACAAGGTGAGGCTGAGGGCAAGGGGGGTTGGTGTACTTAACTCCTGCATTAAAAAACAAAATGAAAAAGGCACCAGTTACTACAGGTGTCTTTGCCCCAGTGTTTGAGGGGAGATGCAGCTCACATTTCCCCCCAGGGCTGGTGGTCAGAGGGTTCCTGTGTTGTTTGAATTGCAGGGAATTTGGCTGGACTTTCCCACAGCACAGAGGTTTTTGGTTTGGTTTGTGGCCATTAGCAGAGAATGATCTTTCTGGTGGCTTTTAGGAAGACACAGTGTGATTCCAGCTGTGCTCCTTGTTGGCTCCGAGATGATTTCACAGCAGGCTTGAAATCAAACCTGCCAACAACCCAAACACTGGAGAGGTTGTTGTGTGTTCCAGGTGAAGAGCAACGCCGTGCGTGCCCTGGGGAATGTGCTGCATTTCCTGCAGCCCTGCCACGTGGCCAACCCCAGGTTCAGGGAGGCCGTGGAGGAGTCCCTGCAGGCCCTGATTGCCACGGTGGGCAGCGAGGCCACCATGAAGGTGCGCTGGAACGCCTGCTACGCGCTGGGGAACGTCTTCAAGAACCCTGCCCTGCCTCTCGGTGAGAGCCTGCCCCTTCCCCAAGCAGAACATCACCTCTGCTGCCAGGGGGTGCAGCAGGAGGGGAAAACCAACAGAGCTGAGCCTGGCTGCCACAGCCTTCGGGGCTCTGCCCAGTGGAACAGGCTCAGCTCCTGCCAGTGCCAGTGCAGGTGTAGCTGCTGTACAGCTGGGTCTGTCATGGCAGGAAACAGTGTGAGGGTGGGATTTAGGTGTGAATAAAAGCCAAATATCCTCTTGTAAAACTTCAGGAGATTAACAGTTTTAACTAATATTTAATTTCATAACCCCTGATTCTCTCTTTTAAACGTCAATAAATGTCAGCCCATTAAATATCCAGGAGACATTTATAGTTTTGCATATTTGGGCTGATTAAAAAAGGGGGACTTTTTGGTTTTGTTTTTTTTTTAGGAGAGACTCCTTGGGCCACGCAAGCTTTCAGTGCCCTTTCCTCTGTAGTCAAGTCCTGCAAGAACTTCAAAGTGCGGATCAAGTCGGCCATGGCCCTGTCCATCCCCAGCAAGAGGGAGTGCTACGGCTCCACGGAGCAGTTCTGCCAGATCTGGAGTGCCTTGGTGGTGGCCCTGCAGAGGAGCGAGGACACCGAGGACTTCCTGGAGTTCAAGTACAGCTCCAGCCTGAGGAGCCAGATCTGCCGGGCCCTGCTGCACCTGCTGCAGCTGGCCAGGGCCACGGACCTGCCCCTCCTCGGGGCCAGCCTCAGGGAGCACGGCCAGGCCATCAGAGCCCACGTGCTGCACTACCTGAGCTCCTCGGGCGAGGAGAGCGAGGCAGGAGCGCACACGGACCTGGGGGACAGGCAGAGAGGGTTGCAGGGAGCCATCGAGCACCTCAGTGGCATAGAGAGCGAGCTGCAGGGCAAGGCCAGGCTGAGAGTGTCCCTGTACCTGGAGGATGTCCTGGCACACCACACCAATGCCACGGAGCTGGCAGAAGCTTGAAGGAAATGCCTGTTTCAGTGACCAAAGCTTCCACAGGGAGCACTGAGGTGTGTTCCCTTGCACAGGACATCCAGAGGAAAAGTTTCCTGCTGCTGATATTAAGTATTTTGTTTCAGACTTTATTAATAATGCCTCTAGGACTTTTTTCTTTTTTATTACTATTTTTTATTGTTGTGTTTGGGGAGCTCTGCTGTTGCCCTCCCTGGTGCTGGTTTGTGCACTTTGCTGTCACAGCGTCGCCACTTGGAAAACAAACGCCTTTTCCTCCTCTGTGTGTTTTTTAAAGCTGCTTGTTCCTTCAGCTTATCTCAAAGCATTTTGTTCCTATTGCTGCAGGATCCAGAATCATGTTTGTAAAGCAGGGGGTTGGAAGAATTTTGTTTTTCAGAGCACTGCAAATGTTGTCACTCTTGTGTTCCTGCAATAAACCCAAATACGCCAATATTTGAAGAATAGCTTAGAGCAAACAGCCTTTGCCTTCAGCTGTCTGTGTTCCCAGTGTTGTACACCTGGCCTGAGCCTCCCTGCTGCCTCCACTCATCCTGTCTTCCAAAAAAATCAGAATTCCTTCTTTCCAGGTGGATGGTACTGTGCTGCCTAAGCCAGAAAATTCAAAGTGGGCTCTCCAGGGCTGGAATTTTGGCTCTCCGAGCACCTCTGTGGGAGGTGCAGTGGTGTTCTAACAGCACATGGATTCGTTTCTGGTTCTGGAGTTCTGTCCCCTTCCATTCCTTCCTGCTGCTGTTACTTACTCTGTGTTTGCTCTGTGCTGACTCTGCTGATAGCCGGGGCAGTGCTGAGCTCTCTGATGTTGCTGGGGACAAATCAGCACCTCCAGGAATGAGCAGGTTCTGGGGCTCTCAGAGTTAAGTGCCTGCTGTCCTAGCCCTGGGCTGGATGTTTGAACAGAGCTCAGGGCAAGCCCTGCCTGTTGTAAAACCTCTGGGGGATACAAAATCCATCGGCTTTGTTCTTCCACCCTCGCTGCTGGTTTCGGCAGCCTCAAGTGCTGAGAGTATCCAAAACTTCCTGGAGCAATGGAGCTTTTTCAGGGGATGGATGGAGGGATGGATGGATGGGGCCAGATCTCTGCCAGGGATGTCTCCTGCTGTACCAGCCCCGTGTGTGTGGTCAGGCTGGATGCCCTGGGATGGAGGCAGAGCTGAGCATCCCTGCTGGGCCTGTCCTGGCTTTGCTTCAAGTGCCACATTTGCACTTCAGCTTCACTTGCTCCCTTCCTCTGCCTGCTGCACTGTAGCTGATCCCATCTTTGAGCTCCCACACCTGAACCAAGCCTGTGTTTCTTCGCTGCCTTGGGGAGAAATCTGTCCCATACCACTGAAAACACAACCTTGCCTGGATTTCTTGCCCAAAGTTGCTGAATCTCTGGAGCTGCCTCCATCCTGTACCAGCTGGAATGCTGGTGCTGAGGCAGCTGTGGGACTTGGGAGCAGGGTGGACCTGAGCTGAGTGTGCTCCAGCAGCCCCATCCGACGTGGGGCTGTTCTCTGAAGGGAGAAACCTCTGGTTTTGTGCACCCCAGGAAGCAGGTGGGAGCTGCTGTTATTCCCAATAGGGCATCACCCTTTGGCAACCCTCTGGGGACAAAGGGCTGTGCCCTGCCTGTGCCCTGTGCCACCCCTCAGTGCCACTGAGGGCCACGGGGCTGCTGCAGCCTCCGGAGGAGCGCTCGGGGCCGGGGAAAGGCAGCACCTTCCCCACCCCGGCCAAGGTTTTATTGTACTGCCTCTTTATTGTGGTGTTTACAAGCCAGGCCCTTTATAGGTTTTCCTATGAATAGTTCCAAGGAGAAGGTAATTACCTTATCACATGCAGGATGATTTATAGCCAAGGTGGCAAGGGACATTCAGCTCCACATCGGCTCCGTTTGAAAGCCAATCCGCCCGTTCTCCCGCGGGGTCACTGGGTGGGGAAGACAAAAGGGCTTTAGTGCCCGGCCCCTGGCAGCCCGGGGGTGTCTCCTGCGCCTTTCCCCGGGCTGGTCACCCACCTGCAGCCCCCGGTGCCCCTGGGGCCACCAGCGCTGGGGGCTCTGCCCTGGGCAGCGCAGCACCGCGAGTGCCCGGGGCGGTGAAACACCCCAGCGGCTTTGATTGGGAGTTTTAGTTTTTAATTACCTTCCCCCTTCCCGCCAGCAGCCGTCTCTATGGCCGGGGAGCAGGGGCGGTCATTTACCGGCTGCTGCGCCCGGAGCATCCCCGGGAGCGGCCCCGGTCCCCGGGCCACGAGGTGGCACCAGGTCCCCGGGCACGGCCACAGCGGCGCTGCCCGTGTCCCCCGGCGGGTCCCTCGGGCTCCGGGCGGTGCTCGGGCTCCGGGCCGTGCTCGGGCTCCGGGGGGATGCTCGGGCTCCGGGGGGATGCTCGGGCTCCGGGCTGATTGATGCTCGGGCTCCGGGGGGATGCTCGGGCTCCGGGGGGATGCTCGGGCTCCGGGGGGATGCTCGGGCTCCGGGGGGATGCTGCTCGGGCTCCGGGCGGTGCTCGGGCTCCAGGGGGATGCTCGGGCTCCGGGCTCGGGCTCCGGGGGGATGTTCAGGCTCGGGCTCCGGGGGGATGCTCGGGCTCCGGGGGGATGCTCGGGCTCCGGGCTCCGGGCGATGCTCGGGCTCCGGGGGGGATGCTCGGGCTCCAGACTGATGCTCGGGCTCCGGGCGGTTCCCGGTGTGCCGGACCGAACGTTTTCCCTCCCGGTGAGCTCTGGCCCCGGGGATGCGGTGTCAGTGCCACCGGCCCGTGAGCGATGGGGTGGCGGCGGCAGGGGTGACTTCCAGTGGCGGGGTCAAAGGGAAGAGGCTGATCTCGGTTCATGCCTGCTGTCTGTGCCATAAAAAATGGCCCCGCGCTATCTCGCCGGCCGTCCCTCCCTGGGACCCGCTAATTCGGTGATTTTTATCCTGTCTGTTTTCCTTCTCTCCCCTCTGCAGCCCCCGACTGATGGATGGAGCCGTGGCTCGGGGGAGGCGGCGGCCGAGGGGATTTGGGCACAGCCCGAGCCTCACTGGCCTGGCCCGGCTGGCACCGCGCTCTGCCCGGGGGCAAAGCCCAGCAAGGCAGGGTGTGGGCAGGGGGGGAAGCAGCGTGGAAGCAAACCGTGGGCACCCCGAGGCTTTGGGCACCGCAGCACCAGGTGGGGATGGGGACAGAGATTCTGAGGGGCTGGCAGAGCCCCGGGCAGCAGGATTGTCCCTGGGGTCATGCCTTCCTGTGCCACCCCCGGGAAAAGGGAGCCCACGCTGCTCCGGGGGGGTGCTCTGGCTCCCCGGGGGCCCAGACTGGTATTTCAGTCCAGACGTGCTGGTATTTTTTCAGTCCAGCAGATTTCCTTGATGGCCCAGCAGCGGAGCAGGGGCACGCTCGGCACGCTGGCACGGTGGCAGCTGCAGGGTGGGGGGTTCCCGTGGGGCACAGGGGGCACAGCCTGGGCAGGTGACGTCCCCAGTCCCTCTCCTGGAGCAGCAGGAAAAACATTTGCCCTGGAATGGGAGGGAAAACTATGTGGAGCTTGAAATTTGCTCATAAAGCCGGGCTGGCCGGGTGGGAGGCTTGCCACATCTTGCTGGAGCGCTGGCCCACATGATGGGCCGGGTGATTCAACAGCCACCCCCGTTCCCGTTCCTGCTGCAAGCCCCCGTGTGCCGCCACACCTCTGGGCTTGGGCCCGGTAAATATTCTGGGGGGTGCCCGGCTCGGTGCTCTCTGTGCCTTGGGACAGTCCCCTCGTCCCTGCCACCACCGAGTACCAGCAGCCTGCCCAGGCAATGCCCCTCTGGTGCCACCCATCCATGGGGACCCATCCCGGGGACAAAGGCGGCTTTCAGGGCCCCTGGGAGATGTGTGAAATTCGGCTCTGGCCCAGCTCCTTCCTGGAGCGGAACTGTTCTCAGCGAAACCGTCCCCACCGCCCGCCCTAATGGCTTTTCTCTGTGCGCCCGCATTAATGAACGCGAGGCCCAGCCTAATCGGGGGGAAGCCATGCAAGTAATTGCTTGAATTTTTAATTCGGGGTTATGATAGGGGAATCAAAGTCACACGGCAGCCGCTGAGGCCGCCCGCGGCTCCGCACCATTGACTCCCGCAATTTGCTTTTGATTTTTGCCCTCCCGGCTCCCCCCACGGCCCGGCGGGGACCCTGCTGGGGGCTGGACCCTCCCAGGGAGGGCAGCGGGTGCAGGGAAATGTGCTTGGAGAGGGGGTCCCACCCGCCACAGGGGCTGGGGTGAGCTGGGCTCTGCCCAGTGCGGGGCTCTTGCCACAGGTGGGAAGTTGTTGCCAGCCTCCAGCAGCATTTCCTTGTGCAGAGCTGGATTTTCCTTCTCTTGGGACCTTTTGAGTTTCTCTGGGTGCGTTGTGGCAGCTCTTGCCCTCAGCCTGGGGAGCCACCGGTGGGGACGCCCTGCACAGAGCGTGTCTGGTGCCACCATTGTCACACCGAGGGGCCGGTGACACATGGCAGTGGCCACGGGGTGACACGCAGGGTGTGGGGCTGGCCAGGTTTGGGTTGGGCCTCCCTGTAGTGCAGCTGGGACTTGTGCTGAAGCTGGCCCACGTTTGGGACTGCTGTCCTCAGAGAGCTGCTCCAGCCCTGAGCATCCCCTGGGCCTTGGCAGCGGCCGGGCTGCTTTTGTTTTCCCAGAAAACAACCCCACCTCCGCGCTGGTTCCAGCTCGCTTCCCTCCGCTTTGTCTTAAAATTAATAAAGAGTCAGAGGACGCGCGGCAAAGCAGAATGGCATCTGTGCAATGCCTGTCCCTCTGGGGACACAGGGCCAGCAGGGCCACCCTGCCCACCACCGGGTGCGAGGCGGGGGCCACTCGCGGGCCATGGGGCACAGCGGGGCGTGGGACGGTGCCCGCGGGCACGGGGCAGCCCGGCTCTGCTCGGGGACCCTCTGCCCGCCCGGCCCTGCCCCTGAGCCCGTGGTTGGGCTTTGGGCCGCTGTTGTGGTGTTCCTGTGCCGCGATCCCACGGGCAGATAGCATTGTTTGCCCTGACACGTAAGCCAGTGACAACCTCGAGAGCTCTGGCATGGATTCCGACCCTCTCCTGGCCTGCCCTGCTTCCAGCGCCTTTTTATAGCCCAGCAGAACTTGTTTTGCTGTGGCAGCGAAGCAGAACCTGAGCGGGAGCTGGAGCTGCAGGGGGATGTGAGTGTGGCTCACGGGGGTGCTGGGTCACGTCCGCAGCCCGGCCGCCCCAGCAGCCCCGCAGCGGGTCCCTGCTGCCCACGCTGCCAGCCCCAGCCCTCCCCTCCAGCTCGGGACCCGCCAGGTTGGAAGAAGCCCCCAGGCTCCGAAAATGAGGGGTCTGGGGCTTTGGGAGAGCCCAGAGTGGGGGCGTAGTGCCGGGGAGGGGATGTGGTGGGAAGGCCACCAGTGCAGAAGGACACACTGCCATGGCCACGGGCAGGGGACAAGCTGAGGTGGTCCTGACCCACCTGCCTGCCCCCTGGCAGAGCAAAGGGACACCCAGCAGCCCCAGAGGGGTCCCACCTGCAGGTGAGGGGCCAGCAGGCCCCCTGTGCCCCCCAGAGCAGCAGAGCCTCGGCACAGGACGGGAGGTGAAGACGGATTATGAAAGTGTTTCTTTGCTTTGCTTTTGAGAAAGGAGAACTTCAAAGGGGCCATTTATCACCAGACAAAGAGAGTCGCGAGTTATTTGCAAAGTGTAGGGGAGAAACATTAATTATCAGTGTGACAGACAAACGCTGCTGCTGGGTGTCCTCCTGCCCACCCTGCGCCCTGTCCCAGCAGGTCCTGGTGGCTCCTGTCCCCACACGGGCCAGTCCCAGCTCCTCTCTTGTCTCCTCCACCTGTGCCAGGTGAGGGCTCTGGGTGAGGGCACCGGGGTGATGGATGTCCCCAGGGGGATGCATGTCCCCAGCATGGCTGGAGGGGCAGCACGGGGGTTCCCCACTGTGCTGACACTGCTGGTGGCACAGCCCACCCAGTGCCAGCCCTGCCCGAGTGCTCCATGGGCTGAGACCAGACATGGTGGACACCAGACTGGGGATAAATCCATCCCTTCAATCCATCCCTTCAATCCATCCCTTCAATCCATCCCTTCAATCCATCCCTTCAATCCATCCCGTCAATCCATTCCTGAGCCCCAGGGCATCTCTTCCTGGAGGATGCCCAGGCTCGTGTTTGCTGTGCTTGGAGCAGGGGGCACACAGGGGGAAGAGGAGCCGTTCCCACACCACAGCATCCCTCTGTAGCTCGGTGACAGCTGGGACAGGTCCCTCCCTGGGGGATGAGTGGGTTGTGCAGCACAGCCTGTGCTGGGGCGTCCCCAGGGTGTCAGTGGGGTCCAGCAGAGACGAGGCACCCCAGGGCTGAGCCTCCCTCCCAGAAGCTCTGCAGAGGGAGAGCCGAGGCTGCGTCCATCATCTGGGAGGGAGAAGACAAGCAAAAAAAGGTAATTTCCATTCTAAACAGCCATGCCAGCAGACCTGACTGCCCGGGAGGGTGGCAGTGGCACCTCGGGGTGTCGGGGCCGTGGGTTTCGGGGTGCTGAGCGAGCCCCACACGGGGCGGGCAGCTCTGCCTTTCATGTCTGACCCCTCCCGAAACCACAGCTTCCCTTCGCCCCGCGCGGGGATCAGCCGCGGGTCATATTTAATAAAGGTGGGGACGGGAGGAGGCTCAAAACATTACATCACCTCGTGTGGGGGAGGCGCGGGCAGGCCGGGAATGCGAAAATCTCAGCGCAAGTGGGGGCAGAGGAGAAAAAAAATCTCCGCGAGGGGGTTTAATGGCCTGCCTTGGTGGGAACTCTCGCCCACTGCCCGCGAGGTCAGAGCGCTCGGGCGTTAAATGAAACAAACTGCGAGGAAGAAGCGAGAGGCGGATAGAAATGCGTGAATGTCCATGGCAGAAAACCCCCGGCGCTGTGCCCGCCCCGGCGGCTCGCAGGAAAAGTCCCACCGGTGCCCCATGGCTCCCGTGTCCCCACTCTGCGTGGTGCCAGGGCCACGAGGCCGGCCCGGCCAGCACAGGGGTGCCTGGGCTCCTGTGCCGGGCAGAGCCAGGCCAAAATCCCCGTGCCACGAGCCGTGCCCGGTGCTGACTGTGGTGACGGCTGGCACCCACGGCAGGAGCTGCACCCACGGCAGGAGCTGCACCCACGGCAGGAGCTGCACCCACGGCAGGAGCTGCACCCACGGCCCAGGGCAGCCCTGCTGGCCCCTCTGAGCTGATGGAGGATGTGGCCGTGGGTGAGGAGTTGGCTGGAGCGGGCGGTCGCAGCGGGATGGTTTTTCCCTCCGTGTGGATGGTGTGAAGGGATGGGCTGCTGGTTTGGTGCCCGGAGCCTCTGAGATGATGGGAGAGGAAGGCGAGGCCGTTCCAGCCCCGGCCAATGTGGGCTGGCTGCGAAGCCAGGTGGCTTCAGAGGGCTGAGGGCACGCTCAGATGAAAAAACCCTCCCGGGGCAGCCGCCCTGCATTCCCAGCCGCAGTCACCTCCCGCTGAAGGCTCGGGCTGATGCTCCCGCCGGGCTGGGGCTGGGAAACTATGTGCTCCCAGCCCCCGGGGCACCCCCCGGCCCCCCGAGCCGTAATGACCGGCTCTTCTGCTGAGAGGAGTTAATGAGCTGTGCCGGACAACGATGGGAAAGGGCCGCTCGCACCGAGGCTCCGACATCGCTCCCAGGAGCGGGGCGTGGAACAAGGGGGAAGAGCAGTGGGGTGAGAGAGATGGACCAGAAAACGATCCCCACTTCATTAGCCAGGTGGTTCCAAACGTGTGGAAAGAGGACAAGGTCCAGGTCACCCACTGTGACAGAACACGATTATCATGCGATGCCATGCAGCCTGTGCAAAGACCAAGTCAAAGCTCAGCAGCCCACTTGAAAGGGCCAGGAGACCTTCTGGGAACGGGAGCCAGGCTGTTCCCAGGCCGTGCCGGGGGGTCTGGGCGCTCAGCCCGGCTCCTGCTCCGCCCTGGCACCCACAGAGCCTCCCCCAGACCGCCCTGGGCAGGAGCACGAGGGGCAGCGCTGGGAGCACGGCCGGGGGCTGTGGGACACCCCTGGGGCACCGAGGGGCTGCCCAGGCTGGCACAGCCCCTCAGCCCCACGGCTGGGTGGTTTGGGGCCTCTTCCATCACCTGGGATCTGAGCAATTTTGGGGTGATCAGGGACCTGCTGTGGTGGGAGGGACGAGGGCACCTGTGGGTGCAGGGAGCTGGTGGGGCAGGTGCCACTCACCCTGAGGTGGGAGAGCCGGGCACAGGGGGAACACTCACAGTAACCTGCTCCCTACAGACCTCGGGGCAGGGCACAGCAGAGCTGGGGAGCCCCTCACCCCCACACCGAGGCTTCACACGCTGCCAGACGGGCGTGAGGGAGCTGCTGTCCCTCCCTGTGCAGCCCCAGCACGTGGGACCAGAGCTGGGAATTCCTCGGCTGGGCTGAGGGCTCCAAGCTGGGAGCCAGGAAGGGCCTTTTTGGGATTTTTCAGTCCTCTCTTCTCTAGGTTGTGCTCAGGCTGCTGTGTGCCCACGACAAACCCTCTGACCCACGCACAGAGAAGTTTTCTGCTCCCTGCGGGTGCCTGATCCCCAGCATCCCACTCTGCCTGTGGCTCTGCCCCATCCCCCAAAGGGCAGGGGGCTCTGAGGCTTCTGTGCTGCCACCCTGGCCCCAAGCTGCTCCTGTTCCATGGAGCAGGGATGGTTTTATGGACAGTTCAGCCTGTTCAGCCTGTGCAGCTCCCAACACCTGCTGCTGCCTGAGGGCACAGGCTGTTCCCTTCCCTTCCCTTCCCTTCCCTTCCCTTCCCTTCCCTTCCCTTCCCTTCCCTTCCCTTCCCTTCCCTTCCCTTCCCTTCCCTTCCCTTCCCTTCCCTTCCCTTCCCTTCCCTTCCCTTCCCTTCCCTTCCCTTCCCTTCCCTTCCCTTCCCTTCCCTTCCCTTCCCTTCCCTTCCCTTCCCTTCCCTTCCCCTCCCCAGGGTGTTTAGCTGGGAGGGGATCCATGGCCAGCGGGGTCAGGGACCCCGAGCCCGAGCTCCTGAGGGGCTGTGGGGCTGCATTTGGGGTGTGCCATGGGTGCTGGTGGCTGGCAGGATTTTCTGTGTGTTTTGAGATGGGCAGGTACCTCTGGGCGCCCTGGCCAAGTCTGATTGTGGGCTGGGAACAGTGGGTTCGAAGCTGTTGGCCTTTGCTGGGGCGACCATCCAGGCGCCAGCCAAGAGCAGCAGGAACTGGAAGTGCTTTGGGCAGCTGGGCAGTCATGAGTGGAGATTGCAGAGCTGCCTTCCCCGAAGGGTCCCGGGCTGTCCGTGCCCTGCTCTGGGTGTGGTGCTGCCGCTTCTCTTGTGCCTGCTTTGACTGAGGTGAATTTGTTGGTCTTTGGGCCTCGGTGCACCCGCAGCGATGGGAGAAGCGGGTTTTGTTCAGATCCCAGAGCACGGCTCAGATCTCTTCCTCTGCCCGGTCCCAAAGCTGTTCCTGCTCCCAGCCCTGACTGCTGCCAAGGGTCAATGGGGGCTCCGTGTCCCCTGTGTGCCCTGTCCCCTCAGTGTCCCCTTTGCTAACTGGGTGTCCTTCCACGCCCTGCACGGCACCGAGCCTGTCCCCAGAGCTGCCCACAGCGGGGGCACGACCCCCACTGGCACCCCCGTGCTGGGGCTGCTCTGTTCCTGCTCGGAGCCGGGGCTGGGGCAGCAGGACTCACACCGTGGAGGACACGGGGGGAGAAACCTCCCCCGTGAGACGAGGAGAGGGTCTCACCTTGGCCCGCGTCCCGCGGGAGCCGCACCCGCCGGGGGTCTCGGCCGGGGGCGCGGGCGGGGGAAGGCGCTCCCTTCCCGGCAGCGGGACCCCCGACGGCAGCCGGGCCCGGGGGCTCGGGGCCGCCCGGTGCTGCCCCCGCCGCTGCCCCCGCCGCTCCCCGGGGCCTCCCGCCGGCCGCGAGGCAAAGTCCGCCCCGGCGGGCGCTAAGGGCCGGGCCGGGCCGTGCCGGGCCGGGGCGGGGGCCGGAGGAGAGGCTTTGGCGCTGATTTGCATAAGGTATAATGCCTTATGGTGGCGGTCATGGCTTGTTAGAGCGCGGCCCGCGGCCCGCGGCAGCCGGGGCGGAGCGGGAGGAGGGCGGCAGCGGCGGGCGCGCCGCGGCCCCGGGAGGAGGATGGTGTCCCAGCTGAGCGCCCTGCAACGGGAGCTGCTGGGCGCCCTGCTCAGCTCCGGGGCCACCAAGGAGGGGCTGATCCGCGCCCTGGAGGACATGGTGCCCGCCGCCGGCTTCGGCGTCAAGCTGGAGAGCCTTCCGCTGTCTCCCGGCGGGGCCCCCGACGGCAGGGCCGGCCTCCCGCCGCTGGCCAACGGGCACGGCAAGGGCAAGCTCTCGGGCGACGAGGGCTCCGAGGACGGCGACGACTTTGACACGCCGCAGATCCTCCGCGAGCTGCAGTCGCTCAACACCGAGGAGGCCGTGGAGCAGCGGGCGGAGGTGGAGAGGATGATCAGGTACCGGCACCGGGCGCGCCCCGCGCCGCGCCGGGATCCGCCCGCAGCCGCTCGGGCCGGGGGTCGTTCCCGGTGTGTCCCACCGGGTGTGTCCCACCCGGTGAGGGCTCCCGGGGCTCCCCGCCCGCCCGCCGTCAGTCCCGGCGCTCCCTGCTCGGTGCGTCCCGCCCGGTGGCGGATCCCGGGGCTCGCTGCCCACCCCGCCGTCAGTCCCGGTGGCGGCTCTCGGGGCTCCCTCGTCCGGACCCCGCGGCCGAGGGGAGCGGGCAGGGGGCAGCCGGAGCCCCGTCGGGGCTGCCGGTCGCCGGTCGCGGCGGGGCCGGGGCTGCCGGGGCCGTGGGGGCTCGGACCGGCCGCCGGCTCCGTCCCTCCGCGCCGGCGGCTCAAACACAAACCGCACCACGTGGAGCCCGGGGCGTTATTAATTTATTTCTATAAATCATCAACAGAAAGATACACAAAGGGCCGCGATCGGGGCGATCGGGCCGGCGGGTTATTCATTGCCGGCAGCGGGAAGGAGGAGGGAACCCCCGACGGCAGCGGCGCCGCTGCGGCCCGTCCCGAGATGCGGCTCCGCTCCGGACCGAGCCGGGCCGGGCCGAACGGGGCAGCCCCGGGCTCGGCGGGCAGCGCTGCCCCGGCCCGTGGGGGCGCGGGCGGCACCGACCCCGCTCCGGAGCTCCGGAGCCCCGGGGAAGCGGCGGCCGCCGCCTGTCCCGCGGCCGGTGGGAGCAGGTGGGAGCCCCGGGCAGGGGGAGCACCGGGCAGGGGGAGCACCGGGCAGGGGGAGCCCCGGTGGGTGGGAGCACCGGGCAGGGGGAACCCCGGGCAGGGGGAGCCCCGGGCAGGTTGGAGCACCGGGCAGGGGGAGCACCGGGCAGGTGGGAGCCCCGCGGGAATACCCCGAGCGCGGCGGGCACACCTCGGGGTCTGTCCGGTTTGCCCCGCCGGCCGCTGCCGTTCCGGTGCCTGTCGCGATCCCGGCGCGATCCGCGGAGCGCGGCCCCGGTCCCGCCGGCCGTGTGTGCCCGTGCCAGCCTGCAGAGCCCGGGGACAGCCCCGGCTCTTCCCCCGCGACCCCGGGGTCTCGGCAGCGACGCGCTCCGGTCCTGCCCCGGCAGCGGCAGGGCGGACGGTGCCCTTTGGGGACGGGGCAGTGTCACCCGTGCCCGCCCGGGCCGGGAGCCTTCGGTGCCAGAGGGGCTCCGAGCGAGGGAGGGTCCATCCAGGCCTGTCCCGATGGGTTCCCAGCCCTCCTGCTTGGCATGGAGCCCCGCAGCCCTGGCTGCTCCCGCCTGTCCCCATGCCCTCCTTGCTGGCCACATCCACTCCTGGGTGTCGGGGTGCCCGGGGGTGCTGACCGGGCTGAGCCCCGCCATCCCCGTGCTCCCACAGGTGTTTCTGGGCAAAGTTTGCCTTGGGTGCAAACAAGAGCGGGCACATGTCCCCGAGGAGCCTTTGCAAAGAGCTCGTGTTTGCTCTGAGAGAGCCCTTTGTACTTGGAGAGGGAGCAGGTAGGGGAGCCGGGAGACACCGACTGCAGCCGTGCTGGGGGGCTGAGCCCCTCTTCTCCCCCTGACCCACAGCAAGTTCGCTTCTGGGCTGTTCCCACATCCCTGGGGCTGCTCAGGAGCCCTGCAGCCCTCAGGGAGCGTGGTCTGGGCTTTGCTGCCCACCCACGGCGTGGTGGGTGCCGTGGGCTCAGCCCGGGCAGTGGCACGGAGAGCCCAGCTCTGGGACAGACAGCCCAGGGCTCCCTCCCTGCCCCATCCCACCCGCCAGGGCTCACCCACACCTCACTCAGGGGATTGATGCAATCCCAGGAGCACCCAGATCCCATCCATGGGCTGGGATCCCCACCCTGGGGAGCCAGCAAAGGCACCCTGAGATGTGCGGGGGGTGCAGGCACAGCCCCTTCCCTCCTGTGCAGGGAGATGCTGACCAGGGTGTCATTTCTGCAGGGAGCCGGGTTCTAATCCATCTGTATAAATTCTTGGCATAGTTCTCTGAGGATGTGGAGTGTATTTACCTGGTTTGGAGGCTGACAAAATGGGTGAGCTGGTCTGGAAATCCCTGGGAAGAGGAACAGGCTTTACCCCCACCTGTGTGTGAAGCTGAATGGGGAAGTGGCTCTTTCTTGGCCACATTGGCAGCCAGGCTTTGTGGGGCTAATTTTGTGCAAGAAAAACACCTTTCCATGGTTTTGGTGAGAAGGACTGTGGAGCCGGGGCTATAAACTGATTTTCCAGTATTAGAAAGAACTCCTGGGTTGGGTCGGGGTTTTGGTTTTGTTTGTAAGTAAAGTCCTGTTGAAGATTGGACAATTAATGTTTGTTTTATTTCATTTTGGTGACAGAATCAAAGAATAAGGGCTGGTGTTGACTCAAAAGGTTTTCCTCTCTGGCTTTTTAGGTTACCAAAAGAGAAAGGAAAAAAAAAAAAAAAAAAAAAGAGGCCAAACAAACACTCAAACGTTTCATATTGGGTCAAGTCCAAACATTTTGTTTAACATGAAACAAAAATGTTTGGGTTTGGTTTCAGGTTAACCCTTTTGAATACGGTCGAGTTGATTCGTAAAGAAAAAATCACTTCTCAGAAATTAAGACCCAAATAATTGTTTTGAAAGTGTAAGTGTGAAACACGTTGGAAATGTCAAGGTGAAGCCTTTTGAAAAATAATTAAATGGAGGGAAACTCTGGGACTTTTTTTGCTAATTCTAAGATATTTTTCCAACCAAAACATTGCCAAATTTTATTTGAATTTCAAAATCTCCTCTGTAGCCCCCGAGTCACTCATTTGACATTTTCCCAGTGTTCACTGGATCTCGGTTTCACTCTGAGGAAACGCTGCCCTGGGCTCGGGGTGCGAACTAAACCACTCTTAGAAATATTAATGAGCTCTGTTTCATTGTATTATTATATTATATTATTGTGAGTTATTATATTAATAACTCACATTATTAATCAGTAATTAGTGGGATCAGTTGGTGACATGAGCTGCTGGTGACAAAGGTCTGCCCAAGCCCCTCAGCCCGAGCACGGTGCGGCTTTGCCCTGTGCCGTGGGGAAGGAGATTCCCTCCACATCCTTCTCCTTCCCACCTTCTCCTGGGAACTGTCCCACTCACAGGACCCCAAAACCACCGGGGTTCCACTTGCTGGGGATGCAGGCACGGGCTCAGGCTCAGGCTCAGCGACTCCAGGCAGCTCCGTGGCTCCTTCCCGGCTCTGCCAAAGCCCTGCTTGGCTCTGCTCCGGGATTTGCTTTGTTTGCAAGGAAAAAAAGTAAGAAATCTACTTGTTGGGCTTTTTTTTTTTTTCCCTTCACTTGACAAGTTGAAGGATCCGAAGTAAGTAATGGATTGAGGAAGCAGTCGGACGTTCCAAGCGCGGCGTTGGGGTATCGCATTATTTGAGTGCAGGACTGTGACCAGCTCTGGGCTCACGCTGATTTTTCAGTGCTCAATGTGCTCCCTTTTAGCCCAGAATAAACCCTGGGGTCTTGGATACAGCACAGGTGTGTTGGCCTGTTCCTCTGCTGTCACACTGGGCATTGCACAGAGCTAAAGGCCATGAACAGCATTTGGATTTTCAGCTGTAATTTTATTTGTTCTAAAATAAAAATACCCTAATCAGCAGACTCTAAATCAGTGTCAGCTACCCCAAGGACAGTAAAATAGTGTGATTTAGAGAAGAGTAATTTTGAACCTGGGTCCTACAGGAACCAGATTCAAGTGTTTAATAATAATCAAGAATGACTCAAAATTCTCAGGGTCTTGGTTTCAGTTTTGCATTCAGGGACTCGGGTTCATGTGCCTGGTTTGACCTTGGCTTCTCAGCCTTTTGCACAGCTGTGGGAGCGAGGGAATAGGGTCCCTTTGAAGGGGATACTGAGATTTTTAGGTCGTTATCCCTGGGGGAATGGAAGGAAGAAGCTTCACAGCAAGTGCGGTGGGTGGGGATCGGTGGCAACACAGGGGTCCCTGCCAGCCGGGGGACACGGGCACAGTGCAGGTGCTGCACCCTGAGCAGGGGCAGGAAAAGGTGAGCAGGGGCAGGAAAAGGTGAGCAGGGGCAGGAAAAGCATCCCCAGCACTTCTCTTTGTCCGTTCAGGGTCCAGGCTGGGCTCCCCATGCCCACCCGTGTGCGTGTCCCACTGCGGGGGCGCATCTCCCGTGGGAGAACCCGCGCTGAGTGGGCTGTGCTTCTCCACGGAGGGCTCTGCTGGCATTCACGGGGCCTTGGTGTGTCCCATCAGGACACTGGCACCCTCTCTGCTTCTCCCTCCCTGGGGGAACAGCCTGGCTGGCAACCAGCCTGGGGTGGGGGCGAGCCCCGTCCTGCCAGCCCTGGGGTGGGACAGGGCTGCTCTGGGGGCCTGGGGAAAAACACACTCTGAGGATCTTGTGTCCTTCTGAAGCTGTTTTAATAATAACAGTAATAGTAATGAAAGGTTTCCATTATGGGAAGAAATACTGGGGGCTTTTGCCTGGCAGCAATATTAACCCTTGGTTTCCCTGCCCACAGCGAGGACCCGTGGCGGGCAGCGAAGATGATCAAGGGCTACATGCAGCAGCACAACATCCCGCAGCGGGAGGTGGTGGATGTCACCGGCCTCAACCAGTCCCACCTCTCCCAGCACCTCAACAAGGGCACCCCCATGAAGACGCAGAAGAGAGCTGCCCTGTACACGTGGTACGTCCGCAAGCAGCGGGAGATCCTCCGCCGTAAGTACCTGTGGCAGTGGTGGCAATGGGGGAATGGTGGCAGAGGGGTCCCTGCGTCCCTGTCCTGCCCCTGGGTACCAGCACAGCCCCCAGACCCCGGCTGAGCAGCATCTCCCCAAAACAGTTTTCCAAGAAAAATGAATTTAAGGTGCAGGAAGAGTGGGTGAGAGCCCCTCTTGGTGGCAGGGTTGCCCCCGGCTCATGCACGCAGCTGAATTTCTGGGTATTTGTATTTGTTAGAGCTGGGAAAGCAATTAATGATGGCTCACAATTAGGTACTTTTCCCATCTTTGCCCCTTTTCCTTGTTATTTTTCAGGCTGCTCAAATTTTTCAACTAAAAGTGCAAAAAATGTAGAGAGAGAAAATGAAAAACCCCTGAATTGCTGCTGTGTGTAGCAGGATTTGGGGCAGTCTGTGCTGTTTTAAATGAAGATGATTTTGAGCAAGCACACCGACTATTCCTTTGTGCCCCTCACCCACTCTTCCCTGCCCTGGGATCTGTCCCGTAGCTCTCAAAGCGCCTCGAGTGGCACTGGCAGCCCCAGGAAAGGGCTCTGCCTCCCTCTTCCAAAAGGATGCAGCATCCAGCAGCCGGGAAGTGCAGAAAAGGGCTTAGCACCAAATACCATTGCTCTGAAAACACACCTTGAGACGTTAGAGCAAACAGAGCCTGCTCCAGCCTTGCCCTGTGTTCCCCCCCGTCACGGGGGGAAAAGCCATTATAAAAAGAGGGAGAATTCCCCTGCAAAACTGGGAATAATAAAACGCTCCCATTAATCTCCCTTTACTGCCGTGGTGACAAGTGCCGGGGCTGGGGCGGCCGCCGAAGGTCACCCTGGTGCTGCCCGCCCCGGGCACAGGGCCGGCGTCCCACCACGCTGGGAGGGCAGTGGGAGGGGAGCTGTGGCTGAGCAGAGGGGGGCACCCTCTCGGGGGGCTGTGCAGCCCAACTGCCCAGCTCCTGGCTTGGAAAAATCCTCCCAGAACAAGTGCAGGCTGGCAGGGGCCCTGCCCATGAATATGCATGGCCATGGGGTGCCCTGCACATGCCTCCCCATTAAACAGGGGTGGCAGCAGGCTGGCCCAGCCCGGGATGGGTGGCAGGGAGCTCCTGGCTGGCTCCAAAGCCTGCCGTGGGCTGGGGGTGCTGCGGGAGGGGACACGGGGGGACCCTCGGCGCGGGACGGTGGCTGCGAGCGGCGGCTACAGGCCGGCTCACGTCTGCTCCTTTCTCTTTCAGAGTTCAACCAGGCAGTCCAGGGTTGTGGAAATATGACAGACAAAGGCAGTCAGGATCAGCTGCTGTTTCTCTTTCCAGAGTTCAATCAGCAGAACCAGGGGGCTGCCCAGCTCGACGACGCCTGCTCTGAAACCCCCAGCAAGAAGATGCGGCGCAATCGGTTCAAGTGGGGGCCGGCCTCCCAGCAAATCTTGTACCAAGCCTACGAGCGCCAGAAGAACCCCAGCAAGGAGGAGAGGGAGACCCTGGTGGAGGAGTGCAACAGGTAACGGCTGCCCCACACACCTGCGCTGCCTCCCCTGCCCACAGCCCCAGCCTTCCTTCCGAAAGCCGTGGGAGATGCCACGGAAAATGCCGTGGGAGATGCCGTGGGAGATGCCGTGGGAGATGCTGTGGGAGATGATGCCGTGGGAGATGCTGTGCTCCCAGCTCAGCACCCTGGCTCCCGGCTCGTGGCACAGCGTTGCTGAGCTGCCCAGCCTCTCCTTGCCGTGTTTTCCCCCTCTGGGTGATGTTTGGGGCAGAGTGAGCTCCGTGCTTGGGCAGGATCTGGTGGGGATGGTACAGGGATGCAACAGGGATACCACAGGGATGCTGCAGCATTACCAGGGGGAGTGGGGATGGCCTTTACAGTGTGGCTGTGGTTGAAGAGAGCAGATGGGCTTGCAGGAAGGGCTGAAACTCCCCCAGTTTGTTGTGTCCCGAGGCCCATGCAGCAGCCTTGCTCCAACGTGTCCCTTGCCCTCGCAGGGCCGAGTGTCTGCAGCGAGGAGTGTCCCCCTCCAAGGCTCACGGGCTGGGCTCCAACCTGGTGACGGAGGTCCGTGTGTACAACTGGTTTGCCAACCGGCGCAAGGAGGAGGCTTTCCGCCAGAAACTGGCCATGGACGCCTACAGCTCGGGCCAGCCCCCGCACAGCATGAACCTGCTGCTGGCCCACGGCTCCCCGCACCACAGCCAGCCCAGCGCCTCCCCGCCCAGCAAAATGCCAGGTGAGGCCTCGCCGGGGTGCTGGGGTGAGGCAGAGCCGGGGGATGCTGTGTGTGTGTGTGTGTGGGGAGAGGATGCTCAGCCGTGCAGGGGTGGTGATGGAGAGCAGCACGTGCTGTCACTGCAGTGCTATGGCCTCACGGTGAGGGCTGGATTTCCGCCGTGCTGAGGATAAATCAGGGTTTGCTTGGCTGGTTGAACCCACAGGAGTTCCGTGTGGGCTCGGCAGGGCAGGAGGAGCTGCCCCGTGCCTGCCGTGCTGTGCCAGTGCCCGTCCATGGGATGCAGCCCACCGGGGAGCCCCCCTGGCTCTGGGGGTGCACAGGCAATGCCCCAGGGAAGCTGTGGCAGCGTGTCCTGGCCTCGCTGCAGGGCTGGGGACACCCCGGGCTGGCTGCATGACTCCGCAGCATCCCCGTGCCAGGGTGCAGGGAGGTGGGTGAAGAAAGCTGCGGGGCTGCAGGGTGACCCCACCTCACCCTCCGCACACCGGGTCCGTGCCCAGGAGTGGGCAGAGCAGGGCAGAGGCACCGGGAGCCCGCGGGGGATGGAAGTGGGAGATAACGCGGTGGGGAGGGGGCTGCACGCCGGGGGCTCAGGGGCGGGCAGGGGCCGGAGCCTTTGTTGGGAGAACAATCCCCGTTGTCCCTCACGGGGGGCTCGGAGGTGGGGGCCAGCCCGGGGACCGTGTCCCCACTGCCCCACATCCCCTCGGGCGGGCCCCGGCGCTGGCACAGCCCGGCCGGGGAGGCTGGAAGTGACCGTGCCCGGTGTGTGCAGCGCACACCGAGCTCCTGACAGAGGCAGACCCGGAGCCCGTGGGGCGGAGGGTCCCCCGGCAGGGGCAGGTCCGGGGGACGCTGCCCGCGGGCGGCCGGACCCCGGCGCTTGGCAGGCGGTGGCATCCCCCGAGCGGTACCCAGGGATGTGCGGTGCCCCGGGAGGGACCGGCAGCATCCCGGGGCCCGGCCAGCGGTGACCAAGAAGTGACCCTGCCCCAGGAATGCCCCGCACAATGGCGGGGACGGCCAGGACGTTTGCCCTGCTGTCAGCGGCTGATTGCTTACAAGGTGCCCTACAAGCACATTGTCAGCAGAATCAGCTGTTTTCGGTGTCGCGGCGGCCTTTACAATGCCCCACCAGCATGCAGCCCCGCATTGTCACGGCGTTGTCCCCCGTGCATGCTTAATTGACAATTAAGCCGGGGCTTTGAACGAACCCCGCTGCCTTTGATGTGCCCCCGGCCTGCCAGCGCACATGGGGCACCCCCCGAGAGCCTTTGTTTTCTTCTATTAGGGGACAGCAATTACTGTAACCGCGGGCATTTATCTCGGGGCTGGAGGGCCGTTAAGCCCCAACCTTTATTTTCCCCTCGGATCGGAGCCAGCAGGGGCCGGCCGTGGCTATAGGGCCGGTGACAGCCCGTTGCGAGGGGCTTTCAGCAGGGCAGGAGTGATGGCTGCGGAGAAGAGCCCCTCCGGAGGGGTCAGGAGGGCTTGGTGCGGGAATTTCTTGGCGGTCGGTGCTTGTATCCATCCTGAGGAGGAGAAGATGGGCATGGCAAGGGGCACCGTGGGCTTTTAGGGCTGGTTTGGGGGCAGCAGGCAGGGATGGAGCTCAGCCACCATTGCTTCAGAGCGCTTGGACCAAGCTGGGTCCGAGAGGCTCCCAAAGCACCGCCGTGTCCGTGGCTGCTGGAACCCCTCCAGGAGATGTTTGGGGGTCCCCTCGTGGTGGGGCACACTCAGCGCTGGCCCCGCTGCCGGGCTGACCCCATCCATGCTGGGATTTGAACTGTCCTTGCCCCGAGGTGGCGGCGTCTGGGCCGCTCAATGCCTTAACAGCTTAATGACAGCGCGGGGACACTGCCCTGCCCCGCCTGGCCCGGGACATCCCGGCGGGACACGGTGGGGCCGCGGCCGTGGGCAGCTGCGAACCTCTCCTGTGCCCTGCACAAAGAGGGGTCGCCTCTCCTTGGGACATCAATGGGGTCTTGCAAAAGGGCGGGATGACAGCGGGGCAGGGATGAGAGCTGTAAAAGCCAAACATCCTCCGGCCTCTTCTTGCGGACCCATCTGTCAAGGCTCGAGCTGTGCTTTTTAACTATTTGGAGGTAAATACTTAAAGCCTTTCTATCTCGGAGGCTCCTCTTCGAGGCTGGACTTTTCCCTTACTCTGGGTTTTATCAGCGATCTTGGTTCCCTGTTTGATTTGAAGGTCACTCGGGGCTTTATCTCGGTGCCATGCCGCAGACTCTGGCTTATGCCATTTTTATCTTCAAGGAGCCCCGAAGACAATCGGGGCATTGATGAGATTAGGGGAAGCACCGCCCGCCCCCCGAGCCCGCCCTGCATACAAAGGGCCGCCCTCCCTGCAGAGCCCCAGCCCCATGGCCGGGGGGCACAGCATCCCTGGGGGGCTGCACAGCCATGGGGGGCTCAGCATCACCTGCAGCCTGTCCCGGGGGGCTGCACAGCCATGGGGGGCTCAGCATTACCTGCAGTCCATCCTGGGGGGCTGCACAGCCATGGGGGGCTCAGCATCACCTGCAGTCCATCCTGGGGGCTGCACAGCCATGGGGGGCTCAGCATCACCTCCAGTCCATTCTGGGGGGCTGCACAGCCATGGGGGGCTCAGCATCACCTGCAGCCTGTCCCGGGGGGCTGCACAGCCATGGGGGGCTCAGCATCACCTGCAGCCCATCCTGGAGGGCTGCACAGCCATGGGGGTTAGGGTGTCATCCATCCATCCATCCATCCATCCATCCATCCATCCATCCATCCATCCATCCATCCATCCCTCCATCCCTCCATCCTTCCATCCTTCCATCCCTGCTCTGCAAACATCAGAGTAGCAGATCAATAGCTGAGCAATCACATTTATATACATGTATATGTGTATATACATATGTATTAAAATGCATATCTTATATATATATATACAAATTTAGATATCTCTATAGATGGAGATAAACATAAAAATAACCCAGTGCCACCCCTGAGATTCTTCCTAAAACCCAAAGGACAACTGAAGGGCTTTAAGCTCCCTTTAAAAGAAGAGCCCATCAGCCAACCCTCGCTCTGGGGGTACCCTGGTTTATACCTGGATCCTTCCCCGTGTTCCTTGGGGTGCTGGTTCTCACTGGGACCCCGTGCCAGTGGTTGTAATATTTTACTGTCGGGCACATTGTGGGGCTCGGTGGGTACAGTGCACTGTGAGGAGCTTTTCCCTCTTTTATGGGGGTAATTAGAACTTTATGACGGCAGCGAAATGGGAGGGTCTAGTCCCCATAAACGGGTTTATAATGGATATAAACTATGCACCTCTGTAACTGAGCAAGATTAACACTTTAGGGACAATTTGAGTGGCAGCCCAAAAATCAGAGGTGCCCTCGGTGACGGCTGGACCTGGGTTTTGGGAGGGTGAGATTGTCCCATCAGCGACCTGGCTGTCCATAGTGTCAGTGGGTGAAGCATCACCAAGTCCAGCGTGTCCCCAAAAATTACATTTTGCTTTTCTCACCCCACTTTCACACCCTGGTCCACGCTGATGGCTGCATCCTTGGGGCTCAGGCAGAGCCAGAGCTGCATCCCCTCCACCACCAGATCACTGGTGAATTTTTGGGGTCTCTTTTGGGGTTCAGCATTGCTGGTGGTGTGCAGGACATGGGTGAAGGTCTGGGCAGAAGTGCAGCCCAGAGCTGGGGGAAGGGGAAGGGGCAGACCCTGGAGGTTGGGATGTGCTGTGGCACCGTGGCAGCAGGGCTCCCACTGCATGGGAAAGACAGTTAAAAGTACGATAAGGGTTTTTTAAAATACAATTTGTTAAGCTCAAACATGACTTAAAGCAAAGCAGAACCAGAGTGCTTCACTGCTGGTGTCTGCCAGAGCACGGGCCTGGTGTGTTCTGAGGAAACGGCACTGGGCTGTGATGGAAGTGATGGAGAGACCGATCCTTGCCCTGAACTCCCTCCCCTGCCCCAAAAGCCGAGGCAGGAGGATGAGTGTGGCACCCCAGAGAAGTGGGGAGGCTCTGGGGCTGTCTGGGGGTGCACAGGGACCCCCTCCCCGGGGGCTGTCGCGCTGCTGTCCCCGTCCATCGGCTGGAACAGGGTTAAGGCTACGGGAGCCGGACCCTGCAGCTCGTCTGGGGCAGGGGAAAGCAGTAAAACATTTCACAGGCTGTGCAGCTCAGGGGCCACACAATGGCCCGTCCCATAAACAGAGTTTTACATTATGGCTCCAGTTAAAAAAAAGCCTTGAGGAGGGAAGGCTCCGTGGCCAGGCCCATTCCCAGTGGTCCCATCCAGGCTCCTCTCGTGAGCAGCAGCGGGAAGAGCCTGAGGGGGAATAAATCCCTTTGCACAAGGGCAGCTTCCAGCTGTGGAGGCACAGGAGAGCAGCAGGAGAACCCTTGTGCTGGGCTCTGATGGCTGTTTGTGCCCGGCTCATAAAGCCTGGATGCCAAAGCTGCTCCGGGAGGAATCCTGCAGTCCTGGTGCTCCCAGCTGGAGCTGTGGCCCTGCACTCAGCCCGGCTGTGGGGCTCTCTGGGGAGCTCCCAGAGCCTCTGCTGCCAGGGCAGGGCTGGATCCTGAGCCTCAGTGATGGAGGGAGGCCTGGGGGGCTCAGAGGAAAGGCAGTACCCCGTCACCAGGGAGCTCCGTGCCTTGAGCAGCGACAACAGCAGCAATGCCTTGCACTGGCTTCCCCATATTATTGATCTGATCTGCCCAAATCCAACCCAGCCCTGGGGACAGGTAAATAATAACACCCCTCCCGTTGTGGGGATGGGGAAAACCCAGTGGGGATGGATGCTTCCTATAGGGAGCCCTGGCAGAAGGCTTCTCCCTGCCCAAGTGGCTTCTGAGCACGGTCCTTGGTGGGGCTGGGGAGTGGCACTGCTGTCACCGAGCCCAGCCTGCCTCTCCTGGGGAGAGCTAATCCTCATCAGGACACAGAGTCTTCAGTGGTTTTATCTGGAGACCCAAAATCCCAGTCCCCAGCCTATCTGGGAATCTCGGCGCTGCTTATTGTTCCTCAAACAATCAAAGTCTTGTCCTTGGGGTTGCAAGGAAGAGCTTCAAAATCAGCATTTAACCTCTTGTGCGTTTTAAAGCCAGCTTCACAGCTTTGGGGGGCTTGGCTCGTGAGGTACCACCCCCTCAGCTGGATAGGGCATGATTTTGCATTTTAAATGGACTGTTTTGTGGTTCTTGCTGAGCCCAGAAGAGGCTGAAGACAGCAGAAACTCAGATTTCCTTTGCCAGAGGAGCCGTCTGTGCTCTGGTCTATCTCTGAGATCACGGCCAGAAGAAAGGGCTTTATTTTATCTCCCCTGCCATTGTTCCAGCAGCGGGATCCCGGCCCGGAGTGAAGCACCCTCGGCAGAACCGGGGCGGGAGGAATGTGTGTGACAGTGCCCGGGTTGGGTAATGTTTACCCTGTTCACGGCAGGGACGTCCACTCGGGCAAACATCCACCTGCCAGAGGACATTCTTTTATTATCAGGGATAAAGGGGTTTGCTGGGAAATCATCAGGAACCAGACACGGTGAGGAGATTCCTATCTGGGGCTCGTGTTTAAGCAGCCGATGGGGAAAACTCGGAGTGGCTGTGTTGGGGTTTTGGTGGAGGGTGTGGGTGGGTCTGTGCCTGGGCAGATGGTTTTGGAGCTGGGGGAAAGCTCCTGGACTCCAGTTGTGATTTCTTTGATTTTCCTTAGTTCAGAGATTAATTTTGGAGTGGCCCATAGAGCATCCTTCGCTGAGGCAGCCACAGGCTGGAGCTCCCCTGTGATGGTCCTTGTGAGGAGCTGTCCCCAGTGTCCTCCTGCACTGCCTGGGGCTCATGGTGGCTGCCAAGGTGGGCTTTGCCCCCATGGGATTTTTCCCCAGGAGAGCCATGGTTTGTCTGTCCATCATCCACCGCTTGGACCCCAGAGCAGTTCAGTAAATCTGGCTGGGAGCACAGGCCTGGACTCCTCCTAATAAATGGCTTTTCGCCCTAGCTGTCAAGGCAGCCCTGTAAAAGACACCTTTGTTTGCCATGGGTTTTCCTCAGTTAATTATTTGTGATCTGTAGACGCCTTTCCATGACACATGGCTGATCATATGGTTATCAGTGTGGGGTGCTTTAGCCAAATTAAATATATTTATATAGAAGACCTGTGCTGGGGCCAGATTTCCCTCCAGGGCAGTGGAGGGCTGGGGTCTGCCCTGGAGGCTGGTGTGTGTCTGGCCCCTCTGCCTTGCTGGGGTTGATCATACACTTGTGGAGAGGGTGTTGAGGGATGCAGGAGGACCTGAGAAAACAGTGGGAGCCGTGGATGTGGGAGCTGGGGATGGCTGGGGCTGTGGGCAGAGCCTCAGAGGGGTCAGGCGGGCGTGCAGGGTCACTCCTCGTGTGCAGGGTCACTCCTGATGGTGCAGGGTCACTCCTCATGGTGCTGCAGGGTCACTCCTCATGGTGCAGGGTCACTCCTGATGGTGCAGGGTCACTTCTGATGGTGCAGGGTCACTCCTGATGGTGCTGCAGGGTCACTCCTGATGGTGCAGGGTCACTCCTCATGTGCAGGGTCACTCCTCGTGTGCAGGGTCACTCATGTGCAGGGTCACTCCACATGTGCAGGGTCACTCATGGTGAAGGGTCACTCTGGTCACTCCTGATGCTGCTGCAGGGTCACTCCTCATGTGCAGGGTCACTCATGGTGCAGGGTCACTCCTGATGCTGCTGCAGGGTCACTCCTCATGTGCAGGGTCACTCATGGTGCAGGGTCACTCCTGATGGTGCTGCAGGTTCACTCCACATACTGACACTCCCCAGGCCAGTGTCCAAGAGCCACAGCAGGAATTTGCAGGCCAGCTGTGAGCTGTGCAAATGGAAACAGGGGTGCTGTGGGTGCGTGTGGGGCTCCCTTTCCCCCCAGTGGCACTGGGCAGCGTGGATTGCATCTCCAGCCATAAACTCCTGACGGTGATCCCAGGAGATGGGGCCAGGGAGGATGTGGGGAGCGGTGCTGGAGGAAGGGACGCCCTGTCCCGTGCTCCCCTTGCCGTTTGCCGTTCACGGGCGGCACTTTGGAGCTCTGCACCCTCGTGCCACAGCCCGAGGGAGGGCTGGGGGGCTCAGGGGCCCGGCAGCACCCCGGGGCCCTCGCTGGCGGCCGTGGGTGACGCGGGGCCGGCGCTGTTTCGCAGGGGTGCGGTACGGCCAGGCGGCGAGCGGCGAGGTGACGTCCTCGGGGGCCATCGGCCACCACGGCAGCGGCGCCATGGTCACCAGCAGCCAGGCTGTCCTGCAGCAGGTCTCCCCGGCCGGCCTGGACCCCGGCCACGGTTTGCTCTCTCCCGAAGGTAAAATGGTGAGTACACCTGGCCCATTGTGGCGGCGGCGCTGATAAGATAAGAGGGCCCAGCGGGCAGAGCAAACACGCTTTCCCCGGGTTTCACACGCGGCAGGGCTGAACAATGGGGCATTGTGGGGGTGCTGCTGTCCCCTCTCAGTGGGACACGCCGTGTTTGAGGTGGATCTGCCGGAGCCCAGGGTCCATTGATCGCAGGCTGAAGGCACTGGGTGGATCACTGTTTGCTTTCCCCTGCCCGTGACATGGCTTCGATAAAATACTCATTCATTACTCGTTCCCTAAGCCCTCACAAGTTTGGGAAGAGCTTTCCCTGCCAGCAGGGACCTCCTTGTCCCAGGGGGTTGAAGCTGCTCGTGCTGGCTCTGGCCCCACAGCTCCTGCCTCTCCCGCTCCCCTTTGCCATGCCTTGGGGCTGTGCTGGGCAGAGCTGCAGGAATGGAGCTGGGACATCAGCATCCCTGTGGCCATGGCAGGGCCCAGGCACTCAGGGTGCCCCTTCCTGCTGCAGAGCCCCTGGAGGGGCGGGTGAAGGAGCAGGGCAAGGAGGGGGTACAGGGGTTCAGGCCAGGACGGGATGGGATGTGGTAGCAGAGGCACAGCCCGTCCCTGGAGCAGGCTGGCAGAGGTTTGCCTGCAGCTGCTGCTTTTCCGGGAGTTCTTTTCCTGCTGAAATCGAAAGTCAAACATGGCACTGGGTGACGGGGCCAAGCCGGTTCTTCCCCGGTTTTCACTTCCATTTTCAGAGGGTTGTCCCTCCTGGGCCGTCCCGTCAGTCTCCTGGTGAAGCTGGGTGGCCCTGGAGGGGCTCACTGTCCCCTCCCTCAGCCATGGCACCGTTTGTGGTGCCCTCCTTGGCTGGAGAGGGTCTCTGTGCAGCCCCTCGGGCTGTGCCGCTCACCCTGCAGAGCTGAATGTCCCCTGCCAAGCTGGGGGGACATCTCAGAGTGACACCCCGGCCCCTCCAGCCCACTCCCTCTGCCCCAGCACACCCAGATCACCTCAGGGTGTGCTGAGCCTCATTACCCTCAGCCTGGAAGCCATAAAATGAGTCAGGGATAAAGGTGGAGGCAGCACCGTGTGCCCAGGGCAGGGGTCCAGGCAGTGCCAGCCCCCTGCCAGCTCCTGGGACCGGGGCAGAGACCCCCAGAAGGGGCTGGGCAGCACGGGAGGAGGAAAGGGAGCAGATTAAACTGGAAAAAGCTGCTTGGTACGGTGCAGCAGAAGAGCCCTGCTGAGTTCTCCCCAAGGCACAGCCACTGCCCAGCGCCGTGGGGACCGTGCGGGACCGCGGCCCTGCCAGCTTATCTCTGATCTCCAGGCAGGGCTAGCTGGTGCTTGCAAGTGATTTAATAGAAACATGCTGTAGGCTGTGGTTTCTAGTAAGTAAACATGTGCCTTTAATGCCCCACATGAAACTGCCAAGGAGGTTGCTGCATCTTTCAGGAAGGAGCGTTACTGAGGCCCCAGAAATCTCTCCTGGCTCACTCTTTCATGCTCCAGTGTTTGCCTCAGCTGTGTTAGTGCCAGAGGGTCTGCCCTGAGGCTCCAGTGCCTGGAGGGTCTTTTCCAGTCATGCACGATCCAGGTGCAGTGCTCTGGGGCCAAACACCCTGTGAGGGGAGCGGGGCTGCGGGCGAGCAGCGTGTGCTTGCCGGGAGCTGTTTGACTTGTGCAGCCGAGTGTGCTGTAACCCGGCCTTGAAGGGACTTTGAAAGTGGAAAATACCGGATCAGGAAATGTGAGTCGCTCCCGGGCTTTGGAATTTATTGATGGATTTGTTTCAATTGCTATCTCCAGCTCACATGTGCAGAATAAACAAGGTGCTCGGAGCTGGTGTCCAGAAATGTCACCTGAAGGGCTGCAGGGATGGCTCTGAGCTGCGACTGAGGTCACTCAGTGCAAGAGGCTAACAACAGGAATTAGGGGAAGGTGCAGCAATTAAAGAAATAAGGCACTCACATGTCCTGGGGAGCAGCTCCAGTTCTCACAGCACATGCCAAGTGCCTTTGTCTGATCCCTAAACTTTAGCCCAAAAGCCAGCACTGGCTCTGTCTGCGCACACCCACCCTGTCTCACCAGTATCCTGCCAGTTGATGACTAAGATCATAGCCATGAGGCCCTTTTAATCTGCCTTCTCTCAGTTTTCCTCACTCTCACGAGTTTACGGGTCCCACTTTCCCCTAAAGCACGCTGGTTAGAAGTTAATGAGTGCTGAGAGCCCTCGGCTGTCCCCGTGGGCTGGAGCTTGGACTGGGGTACAAAGCAGCAGAGGCTTGGGCTGTGCCGTGTTCGGTGCCACGCTCCGGTGGAGCTGGCAGCGGTGCCAGCAGAGTCCTTCCCCACGCTGCTCTGTGTGTGAGCACCAAGTGGAGGTGTGCAGCCCTGTGGGGCTGCCTGGGGTGCAGCCCCCAGCCTGCTCCCCTCTGAGGAGGGGGCCGGGGGGTCCCCGTGGCCGTGCTCTGACGGTGTGTCCTGCCTGGCAGATCTCCGTGTCGGGGGGCGGGCTGCCCCCGGTGAGCACCCTGACCAACATCCACAGCCTGTCCCACCACAACCCGCAGCAGTCCCAGAACCTCATCATGACGCCGCTCTCGGGAGTCATGGCCATCGCCCAGAGTAAGTGCCCCCCGAGATCACCCCCTGCCCTGCCCGGCACTGGGGTGGCACTGCCGCTCCCGCTGGCACTGACACCCCCTCCCCGCTCTCTCCCTCTCCCAGGTCTGAACACCTCGCAGGCTCAGAGTGTCCCCGTCATCAACAGCGTGGCTGGCAGCCTGGCAGCGCTGCAGCCGGTGCAGTTCTCCCAGCAGCTGCACAGCCCGCACCAGCAGCCGCTGATGCAGCAGTCCCCGGGCCACATGGCGCAGCAGCCCTTCATGGCCACCGTCACCCAGCTGCAGAACTCACACAGTAAGGCCTGGGGGGAGCTGCCAGGGGCCCTGCATGAATTCAGATGGGAAATCAGCTCCTGTTCTCCTCCTGCTCTGCCCTGCCCAAGCTGGCACCCGTGGCTGCTGCCCCTCTCTCCTTGTTCCAGCCCGTGGGATGCTCAGGCTGGTCACATCCTTTCCTCCATGGTCCAGCCTCACCCCCCTATCCCCACGGGTTTCTGGGGGCAGGATGCAGTGGCTTGGGGGGAAGTGGTGGGTTCTTCCCTTGCCTTGTTTTATCCCATCCCTGTGTCCCCGCTGCCCGTTCCCATCCCTGGACGTGCCGTGGCGAGGGCTGGGGTGGCTTTTCCCTGAGCTGTGCCCTTGCTGTCCGCAGTGTACCCACACAAACAGGAGCCTCCCCAGTACTCCCACACCTCCCGCTTCCCCTCGGCCATGGTGGTGACGGACACCAGCAGCATCAGCACGCTCACCAACATGTCTTCCAGCAAGCAGGTATGGCCCAGAGGGCTGAGGGGGCACGGCATGGGGGCACCAAGGTGGAGTGGGGCTTTTCCAAACCCTCTGGGTGTGGGGCTGGAGGTGGGAGTAGCAGAGACCCCGTCCTGCTGCCTGTGGGGAGCTGAAGGGCCATTCCAGCCCCTTCATGGACTCCAGAACACCTGGGTGCAGGTGGTGGGATGGGGGTTTGGGTGATTTTGTCCAACACTGGGTGGTACCAGCCAGGCCCTGCTGATCCCTGGGGATCCCCATGAGAGTGGGAGCGTCCTGCTGGTGCTGAGGAGGTAGAACCAAGCAGGCTCTGCTGCCCGTGTCCAGGGGGATCAACCCTGGTTGGAGTCAAGCAGAGCCCAAGGCTCCCCAGCTTCCCCCAGCCCATAAACCTTCATCATCTGCCCACTGCAGGTGTAAGGTTGGACTTATCCTGGTTCAAATCAGGTGTGTGAGGTTTTCCTTAGACAATAGTCCCTTTCTGAGAGCCAGCTCTGGGGACTGTGGGAAATATGTGGCCCTTATTGATCGCTAGATAAATAAGAGAGAGCCTTGAACTTGCATTCAGATAAACTTTCTTCCCGAGGTTTGACAGGGGACAGGGAAAAAATGTCTGCAATGACCACAGAGTAAATACAGTGTGGGATTGCTGAGACCCCCCCAGCATCACTGTGAGATCCTCGGCGAGGGTGGAGGAAGGGGCTGGGGCTGCAGACAGGAGACACCAGGGGCTCGGGGTGCTTGGGAAGGGGTCACGAACGCCACCCCCCCGGGGATGCCACTCGGGCAGGTCTCAGGGTGACCACTGAGGCACGGCCGCCCCTCCGAGCTCCATTTCCTCCGTGCAGCTTTATCGGCCCATCTGCTGCGCGCTCAGCCCGAACTGCCCTGATTAATGCAGCTCTCCTGCCTTTGATGCTGGGCTGGCCGTGGCAGCCCCGGGACACAGGAAATGTCCCTGGCAGGGGGACAGAGCCCGGCCATCCCCGCTGCCCGCGGGCCTGGATCAGGGCTGGGGCTCCCAGGGGCTCCTTGCACCTCCATGAAAGCAGGAGGAGGTGTCGTGGCTCAGGAGGGGGATATGGGGCCGGGACCCTTCACCTGCTGTGGTGAAGGGGCACCCACACCCCTGTTACCCCAAATACATGATGAACATCCTGCAAGCACCAGGGCAGGGTCTGACCTGTCTCCACAGCAAACCCTCCCAGCCCCAGGGTCTCTTTTCCTACCAACCACTCTGTGCCCAAGCTACAGCTGGAAAAATTTATCTTTGGACATGGGTCTCTTTCTTGGAGGTCAGCAGTTTCCTTAGCCAGAGGTGAATGAAGTGTGACACATGCAGCACAGGGGCCCCATAAATGCTGCTCACCGCCCAAATTGCTCAAATGCCTGAATATTTTTGGTGATTTGGGTTTCTGACATTGACTTGGGCTACCAGGGGCTGTGCCCTGGCTCAGACCCCAAAACCTCTTCCGTGGTGGCAGTGGCTGCTCCAGGTCCTGCTGGGGGGACAGAGCTGGAGGGAGCTCCCTGCTCACCCCCAGCTCTGCCCTGGCTTGCTGTGGGTCTCTTATCAGATGTTGTTATTAGCCCTGGAAGGGGCAAACACCTCCCCGTTCCTCTGACAACGCTTGAGGCCGAGCCACCATGTTTATTACGTTGGCAAACACCTGATAGCCAGGGCCAGTCCCTAATGACATGTCAGGGAGGCTCCTGGCGTCTCCTTATCTCCTCCTGACCGTGTTTGCTGTGCGCAGCGGCCGCAAGGTCACCCCCACCCCTGTCCCCCGCCCGCCGGGGGCTGGGGGGACCCCAGGCATGGGGAGGATGGAGTGGGGTGGATGTGGCAGGGGGCTGCTGGGCTCTGTCCCTGGAGATGAGGGCACAGCGATGAGCCCCCGGCACCGCTCCCACCCCAGCCGGGCTCAGCATCACGCCTGGCTGCTCCTGGGCTGCCCGGCACAGCCTGGCCACAAATAGAACCTTTTTTAGGCTTATTATTTTTGGGAACAGCCGGCTAAGAAAGTATTTTCCCACCGGCTCCCCCACGGGGGTGCCAGGGAGGGCTCGGGGCCGGGCAGGGCAGCACCAAGGTGGTCACAGAGCGGTGCAGGAGGTGATGCCTCCAAAGCTTTGTGGCACTGCTGTCCCCTCCTCGTCCCGTTCGCTCACTGCGCTGCTTCTCTCCGTCCCCAGTGTCCCCTGCAAGCCTGGTGATGCTGCACCCCTCGCTGCTTTCGCACACAGCAGCGGGATCTTCTTTTCCACACCATCCCCCCGGAGCCCGGGGGTCGCTGCCGGAGCGGAGCCCATCAGCGAGAGCGGCACCGGGACCGGGACCGGGGCCGGGACCGGGACCGGGACCGCCGCTCCTCCCTCCGCGGCACCGGGATGTGTCCGGGGATCGTTCTGCTGAAGTATTCGCCTTGCGAGAGGCTCTCCCGAGGAACGAGGCACGAGCTGTGCCGGGCACTGGCAGAAGGGGAAGATGGATCATGGTTGAAGTGAAACTCCTCCGCTCGCACTGAGAGGGACCGGGGTCTGTTACCTGGCGTTTGGAGGGAGGAATTGCATGTGTTGTTGAACTGAGCCAGTTAAACTGTAAATATAGGTACAGTCTGCTCCATCCTCCCCCCTCCCCTCTCCTATACATAGAGATTTATATAAAAAAAGAAGTAAATTTTGTCCAATGGATGTAAACTACTGTAATTAAGTGCAATTCCCCCATCTGTATATATTGGTCCTGAATATCTTCTTTTTCTCTTTTTTTTTTATGGTAAAGGTCAGAGCTGAGGATGGTTTTGGTTTTGTATTTCTCTTTTTCCTTTAAATGAGTCAGTTCCAGTCCTGGGGCTGGCAAGGACCCCGGTCGGGCAGCACTGGGCTCTGTGTGCAGGAGGACAGGCAGACACTGTCCCCTGCACGGTGACATCCCACTGAAGGAAGGGCACAGGGGAGCTGAGCGGAGCCCTGGCAGGACCTGGATGGTCCATGTGGGAGCAGCTGCCACTACCAATCGATCTCAATGGGCTTCCCTGCCCCTGGGCACTCTGAGGTGGGCTCTGGTGGGGTGGGGAAGGGTCAGCAGCTTCCAGGTGACCTGGAGCACTCCAGAGTGAATGAGGCCACAGGGAATTCTGGTGGGATCTCCCTGATGGGTTCAGAGACTCTCCCTTTCTCCTCCCTCGGGGCACAGAAGAGTGCCCATCACCGCCTCATCTCCTGCCCAGGGAATGGCCAGTACAGGTGGCTTCTTCCCACCTTCAGCAGGTGATGATGAACCTTGTTGGCTCCACCCTTAGCAGTGCACAGGGTGCTCTCGTCCTCCTGGATGGATGGATGGAATATGGGCTGTGCTGTGAACGCTCCAGCTGCTGCCCTGTCTCAGCTGGCACCAGCTCCTGCGTGGAAAGCTCTGCAGGAACATCTCCAGCTTGGGAACGATCCCAGCTCTGTGGTGAGGGCATGTTCAGCCCCTCAGGCACTCGCTGAGGACACACACCAGAGCCCTGGAGGAGTTTGGGTGCCCAAACCTCCCAAAGCCATGGAAGCTGTTAAAGGCATCGTCTGCTCCTCTGTAAATGGATTTAATGCTCCCCAGTTGTGCCATTTTTCATTAACTTTGTGGCATGTGCCAGCTGCTGAGGGGGATTTCGAGAGGTGGAGAGCAGCAGAGGTGCCCATGGACAGATAGCCACGCTAAGAAGGAGAGCACTGGATGCTCTCTTTGGGCTGACAAAGGCTCTTTGACTCAGTTGTCTGCACAGTGGGACCCTCCCCCTCGCTGGGACTGGCAGAGCTGCCCACCGGCGAGTAAGTCATGGGGAAATTGCAGACCAATGTTCAGAATTACTTTTAATTTAATGTATACCTTAATTAAACACCATTTCTTCTGAGCCCTTGCTGCTGCTGCGTGGTCTGTGAGTTCCACAGGGATCGTGTGTGGTGCTTTGGCAGAGGTGGGGCTGACAGGGACACGGGCTGGTGGCACGTCCCTCCTGCTGTCCCTTGCAGTGACCATCTCTGTTTATTCCTGCCTGCATGTGGGGAGCCCAGGGTTTCCTGTGAATCCCCAGGTGCCAGCCAGGAGTCGAAGGAGGCTTTTGGAGGTGGGGAGATCCACGTCCTCACCCTCCTAATGATGGCCTAATGGTGCTGCCCTTAGCCCAGCAGTGTCTCATCCCCTGCTGGCTTTAGCAGCCCCGTGCTAAGCACACCAGTTAGGAGGGGAGTGCCAAGGCCAGCTCTGGAATCCGAGCCGGGGGTCAGTGCAGCCCCAGGGGGAGGTGGCAGGGTGTGCTCGGGGCTGGAGAGCTTTTGAAGATCCTTGACTGTGAAGAGCTAACAGAGCTGAGTGACTCAGAGCACAGCAGTGGAAAACTGGAACCTTTGTGGAGTTCGTGGTGATGTGGAGTAATGTGAAGCTTTCCCTGGCTGGTGCCAGTCCAGGTTGAATTGGCACTGCAGAGGGAGGAATGGACAATCCAGTGGGAAACAGGTGGGAGAAGGAGGCACCAGACCTGCTGCAGCTGATGCAGTGCCTTTTGGGGCTTGATTTCTGCACAGACTGAAAGGATGGAGCTTGGGGTGTGCAGAATCCTTTGGGAAATGGCCCAGGGTCAGTGCTGCTCTGCAGAGAAGGTAAGTGAAAACCTTTGGAAAAGGAGGCTTTGAGAACTGACCCCACCACAGAGGGATGTGCTGAAGGAAGAGGGGGCAGAGCCAAAAAAACGAGGGGAGAAGGGCAGAGGAGACATCCAAGTGAAGGCACAGAGGGAGCAGGTGACTCCCACGGAGCACAGCTGGTGAAGCAGACAGGATACAGTCAGTAATGTGAGTAGAACAAAGGATGAATAACACATAAGGATTGTGTGCTGTCACTTCCCATCCCTGGGCAGCAGGCTCTGGGACGGGGGAAGCAGGGCAGGTTGCTGTGGGTGCTGTGGGTGCTACACACACCTGCGTGGGGAGACAGCTTCCTCTGATTCTGAGTTAACCTCCACCTGAGGAAACCCTTCTGGATGGTAAATGCCACACAAAACTCTCAGGGCAGCCTCTGCAGCAGCTGGGCTGGGGCTGGGACTGTCCCTGCACCTCACCTTGCTCGGAGAAGCCCTGGGTGGGACGTTTGCTGCCACAGGTGCCCTGGCTGCCTCATTAAATTGCTGGAAAATGTGATGTCATGTCAAGTGAAGCTCCTGGAAGACACTATTTTCCTCCTGCTGCTGTCGGGCACGTGGTGTTTGTGTCTGATGCAGTTATTATGGGGCAAAGAAAGCAGCAGAGCCATGACAAAGTTTGTTTATGACCAAAATAGTTTTACAGGGTTGGGTGATTATTTTACAGTTCAAAGCTGCTTACAAGGGAATTCCTTGCACGTGAGGATTCTCAGCCTGCCACGAGGTTTGAGGTTGTCTTTTCATGTGAGCTGCAGCCTCCTTCATGGGCACAGGGACAAGGCTGAGCTAAAAGTAAAGCGCAGGTGTGGGTACAGAGGAGTGATCCCCCAAATGCCAGCAGTGCCAGGGGTGACAGCCGTGGGCAGGGCTGTGTGACACAAGGACCTGCTCCGTCCATGGAGTATCACCCAAAGCTCTCTCTGCTTCGTGCTCCTTGCCCAGCCCGTGGGCTGAGGCTCAGGGGAAGAGCAGGGGAAGCCTGAGATGTGCAGAGGTGGAGGGCTGGGCAGGAGCTGACCTCTCCTGCAGCTCCAAGGAGAGCAGAGCTGTGGCAGCTGGTGAATCCCACACCCTGACAGGCTCCTGTTGGTGCTGTCGGTGCAGAACGAGGTGGGCTGCCCTCGCTGCCCGCCCCAGAGCCACGACAGGGCTTCTCAAACCCCGGGCACCAGCCCTGGGTGGCTGTCCCTTAGAGCAGCCCTGGGCACGGGGCTCTGGCCGTCCCTCGGAGCAGGGCTGGGCACGGGGCTCTGCCTGTCCCTCGGAACAGGGCTCCTGGGGCTTATCCCCTCCATCACCGTGGCAGGAATGGAGACAGGGAAAGTCGTGCAGGGCCGGGGTCGCTGTCCCCAGGGGTGTGCCAGCAGCCTGCTGTGCCATCCAGAGCCCCGGTGCTGCAGCCAGCCAGGCTCACACGGGCCAGCGGTGCAGATTGGGGTGCCAGGGGAGCCTGGCGGGCACAGCGGGAGCAGGGCAGCGTTTGGGGCTGCAGTGGCCGGGCAGGGTGAGTGCTGAGGAACCCGCATGGCACAGAGCTCACCCCGCAGACCCGTTCTGCCAGTCCGGCCGGCTGCCTGGATCTGCCCGCAGTGCCAGCAGGAAAGGCAGCGGCAGCACAGCAGGGCCGTGCCAGGCTGGGCTGTGCCAGGCTGGGCTGTGCCAATCTGGGCTGTGCCATGCTAGGCTGTGCCAGGCTGGGCCATGCCAGGCTGGGCTGTGCCAATCTGGGCCGTGCCAATCTGGGCTGTGCCAATCTGGCCTGTGCCATGCCGGGCCGTGCTGCACCCAAACACTTCAAAAGGCACTCAGCATCCAGGGCAAAGCTCTGTGCCCGCTCCAGCACGTCCGTGAGTGTTCCTGCAGCTCCTGCAGCCCTGCCGTGCCCTGGGCTCCCCGCAGCAGCCAGGGACCAGAATCCTGCAGGATCCTCTTCCCCGAGGGAAAGGAGCAGCCCAGGCAGACCCGGAGCTCTGGGGGCGCCACCAGCACCAGCAGGGAGAGGTCTCTGAGCCCCTGGATATTATTTCTGTGACCCAGAGAGAAAACTTAAAAGTCTAAAACCTCAAATGTGCCCTAGAGTTGTCCTGTCCCAGTGTAGGCGTAATGCAGAGCCATGGAAAAGCAAAGCCTCAGGCATTTTACGCCGTCTTCTAATTCAAGGAACTTTGATTTTACTTTTCTACTCAGCAAAACTAATCCTCCTCTCTGTAATTAATATGCTGCTCAAGTGGATTCTTAATTACAGATAAATCACAAATCTACACACTCAACTGTTATGCTTTTCAAGTAATAAAACAGATCATTTGTCTTCCTCAGATGAACAGAGCCCAACCAGCACACCATTTCCCTCTTTATGAAGAATTCATTTGCCTTAGAAAGAAAGTCTTTAAAAAAACATTGCAAGGATTTCTTGAATAGGGGATCAAAGCTCCCACACTGCTGGAAACCATTTTTTGCTAAATAAGATGTGAGTAAAGGGGAAAAAAGTAAAAGTTTTTTGGTAGTGTTTGGGATTACAACACCCTTGGGAGGGACGAGGACGTGGGGTCAAGAAGTGGTGACCAGGTTAGCAACACAGGGAACAGAAGGGCAGGACAAAGGAACAGAAAGTGGAAATGGACAGCTGAATGAGGACGCATGTTTGGTGCTGCAAGAGAATGGCTGCTACATCAATTCATACTGAGAGCGGAGGGCTGAGGGCTGGTAATGGATGGGGGGACACAGCAGGGCTCAGAGGTCAGCAGGGCTAATTGACTCTCTGTGCATATCCGTGCTGCTGCTGGAGCAGGAGGCAGCGCTGGGGGCACACGTGCAGCAGCCCCGCTGCACACCTGTGGCACAGGTGGGCACACACACATGTTGGCTTGGCTGGGTGTCTCCTGCAGGCTGCAGGGACACAGGCCTGGCTCTGCTCGGCCATTTGATGGGATTTTATTTCAGCTCCGTGCCCAGGTGGCACATCTCACCTGAGCTGCTCTGCACCACCCCGAGCCCTGCAGGGCTGGGGCTGTGTCAGGGCCAGGAGAGCAGCTCTTCCCCAGCACCTGTACCCGCTGCGGTCCTGCAAGGATAACCAGTGACACCCCTGTGAGGGGGCTCTGGGCTCCCCCTCAT